CCTCAGCGCCAATAGCTTGCAGCCTGCAACCTGGCGAAGCTTTCAGTCTGACTCATAAGTCCTCTCTCTCTACCATCCCCTCTCTTCCCCTGCGCTTGCAGCACTTCTGCAGCACCCCGGCTCCATGCCTCTATTGGCTGCCCTCTGCTCGAGCAGCTGCTAGACCTCCTCAGCGCCAACAACCTGCAGCCATTGCCCTGTGACTATTGTGTTGACTTACCCCCCTCGTCCCCCCCCTCCCCCACCCTCCCCCTCCTCCCTCTTCCCCACTCTCCACCATCTCTTACCTTGCACCCCGTCACCCACAGCACCCCGACTTCCATGCGTCTATTGGCTGCCCTCTCCTCGAGCAGCTGCTGGAACTCCTCAGCGCCAACAACCTGCAGCCTCCGCCCCGCCCCTCCAACCCCTTCACCGCCCTCAACCCTTCCTCCAGCCTTTCTTCCTCCTCTCTCTCACTGGCTGACAGTCTAGCAAGCCTCAAGGCTGCTGCTACAGCCGGTGCTACAGCTGGTGGTGCGACAGCTGCTGCTACGGCCGGTGCTACAGCTGGGGGCGTATCGTTCTGGATCCAGCAGTGCACCCGGTGGTAATAGAGGCGAGGAGCGCTGCTGCCCTGATCTACTGCAGCCAGCGCACCTCGATTCCCCTCGTGCAGATACTGGAGGAGGGGTGGGACGAGGTGAGGAGGGGTGGGATGAGGTGAGGAGGGGCGGGATGAGGTGAGGAGGGGCGCGATGAGGTGAGGAGGGGTGGGATGAGGTGAGGAGGGGCGGGATGAGGTGAGGAGGGGTGGGACGAGGTGAGGAGGGGCGGGATGAGGTGAGGAGGGGTGGGACGAGGTGAGGAGGGGCACGATGAGATGAGGAGGGGTGGGATGAGGTGAGTGAGAACCCATGCCCTCCACCACCCCAACTACCCCCCTTAATCTCCAACCCTAACCCAGCTGAACGTATCCCCCCCTTTCCCTCCCCGTCACCCCTCCAGCCACCCACATTAACACCACCACGCCCTTTGAACCTGGGCTGGGCCGCATCCCAGCAATCTCCGTTCCCTCCCTTTCCCCGTCCCCCTCCCCCCTTTTTTTCCAGCCATCAGATACCAACCCCGTCCGTGATTTTTGAGTCGACTAAAAAATCCCCCTTTTTTCCCAGCCATCAGACACCAACCCCGTCCTGCAGGTCCCTCCCTCCTCCTGCCCACCCACCACCCCCCTGCGCGCTCCTGGTGCTGCCGGTGGAGGCGTGGCACAAGAAACTGCTCAACCAAACCGCTTTCATACTCCCTTCTCATCACCTCCTTGGCGCAAGAAGCTGCTCAACCATCCCCTTCATGCAGCTGCATGGCGCTCACTAGCACCTTATCCTCTCTCTCACACCACCTCCTTCTCTTCCTCTCCCCCCTCCCCCTTCCTCCCCGTTTCCCCAGCCATCAGACACAAACCCCATTATGCAGGCCCCTCCCTCCTCCTGCCCACCCACCACCTCTCTCCGCACCTGCATTCTGGATGCTGTCGCCCTCTATGCGGTGGCAATCGCCCCGGAGAAGCGCCTGGTGCTGCCGGTGGAGGCATGGCACAAGAAGCTGCTCAACCAGACAGACCTCATGGCCTTGGCGCACCACCCCTCTCGCCAGCTTGCAGTCTTGCCCTGGACCTTTGCAAACGACTGGATCTTCCTCTCCCTCAGCTACGAGTTGGTAAGCACTCCCTCCCTCTCTCAACCTCCTACGAGCTTTGGAGTTCTCCTGTGCTGCCCTGGCAGTTTGTCAACGACTGGATGCTCCTCCCCCTTAGCTTGGAGCTCATGAGTGCCCCCTCTCTCATCCAGCCAGACCCCGTCTCTCTCGCCCACCATCCGACCCGCCTGGTAGCCGTGCTGCCCTGGCCGTTCACCAACGACTGTCCCACCCTTGGTGCACGCCTCTCCCTGGGACCCGCTGAACAAATACGCTGCTGTTTTTGTGGAGGCGGTGCGAGTGGCTGGACTCTTCCATTCCGCCTTTCAGCTCTTGTCCTTCCATCCTCCCATCCATCCTCCCATCCATCCTCCCATCCATCCTCCCATCCATCCTCCCATCCATCCTCCCTTCCATCCTCCCTTCCATCCTCCCTTCCATCCTCCCTTCCATCCTCCCTTCCATCCTCCCTTCCATCCTCCCTTCCATCCTCCCTTCCATCCTCCCATCCATCCTCCCACCCATCCTCCCTTCCCTCCATCCTCCCTTCCCTCCATCCTCCCTTCCCTCCATCCTCCCTTCCCTCCATCCTCCCTTCCCTCCATCCTCCCTTCCCTCCATCCTTCCATCCATCCTTCCATCCATCCCTCCATCCTTCCCTCCATCCTCCCATCCATCCCTCCCACCCCTCTCCCCAGGACCCTCTCTCAACGAGTACGCCATGGTTGTGGAGGCGGTGGGGGTGGAAGGGCGCTTTTGTTCCTCCCTGCATCCTTCCTCCCATCCCATCTCGTCCCATCCTTGCATCCCTTCTCCCCGCCCTTCATTTGTCCCAGGACCCTCTCAACGAGTACGCCATGTTTTGAGGCGCCTCAAAACTAATCTCCACCCTTCATTTGTCCCAGGACCCTCTCAACGAGTACGCCATGTTCGTTGACACAGTGGGAGTGGATGGGCTCTTCTCTGACTTCCCTGCGACGGCCCTCAAATACCTCCGTGAGTGTTTTTTCAGGGGCTCGTTCTGTTTGGTTTTCAGTGCCGCCATGAGTGGTCTGTCAGGGGCTCTTTGTGTTCTCATGCCAGCCTGGCATCTGCATCAGGAGTGCCGGACATGGCACTCTACTCCACCTCGCCTCGCTCCAACACACTCAAACACCCAGTTCCCCTCTTCCCCCCCCCCCCCCCCCCCCCCCCTAAACTCCCCCCTTCCGCCCACATTGATTCCCTCCTCAGGTTCTCGTGACTGTGTGGCACCTGCGCCAAGAGACTCAAGAGAGTGACTGTCTAGCCGCTGGTGGACATGTCCGTCTATTCCACTCTTCCCCCTCTTCCCCCACCTCACCATCAACGCCCCCAGATTCTAATGACTGCCTGGCATCTGCGCCAGGAGTGCTGAGCGCGTTTTTTGCCCCGCTGCACCCCCCTTCCTTAACACGCTGATACACCCCCTTCCCCTTCTTCCCCCTCCCTCCCCTCACTCCTCAGATTCTCGTGACTGCCTGGCATTTGCGCCTGGAGTTCTGGGCGTGTTTGTTGCGCCACCGAGGAAGCGAGGCCTGGCAGGTGAGTGGGTGGAGGGAAGATATGCGATTGGAGACATAATGCTGAGGGTTGGATTGGAGTTGAGGGTTGGAGTGGGGAGGTGGAAGGGAAAGGTGGGAGGAAGGTGGAATTGTTACTAGAGACTGCCAGGTGCTGCGAAGTTGCTCATAGCTCACGGTTCGTGCATCATCTGTGCATAATGTAGCGCACAGCAGAACACAGCAATCCACTCATGGCTGTCATATTCCTTCCACCAAACCCCCCCACGTTCCATTCCGTCCCCCATTCCCCACCCTCCTCCTGCGCATCGTCATCAGCACCGTCACAATCTTCCAGTTTTGAGGCGCCTCAAAACTAGACTTCCGTCACAATCTTCCCCCACGCTAATCCACGGCTCTGCTCTGGGCACTCTTGATGATGGTCACCGCACCGCACCACCTTCTTTCCCAACCCCACTCTCGTCCATACCGCCTGCTCTGGCAGGAGCTTCCCTTCGCACGCCAATCCCAACCTCAACCCAGCCTTCCCTGCTCGCACCATTGAATCCCAGCCTCGTTTTCTCAACCCCTATCTTGCTTCTCACGTCGCATCCCCTCCCTTTGAGAGACCTTTCCTCTTGAGCGCCATCATGGCGACCTTCGTACTACTGCAATCCTGCGTATGCCTTCCGGAACTCTCTACTCCAGCTCTGTTTTTTACACCCCCCCGTCCGCGCCCTCTCCCCAGACCTCCTTCTCCTGACTATCATTATCCTCGTTAGAGTGCAATGTTCCCCATGGCTTTCCTTCCTTAGGGTGCAACCTTCCCCATGGCGCTGGGTACTCTCTACGCCATCCTCAAGTGGCAGCAGTTGGAGCAACACCTGCATTGGCAGGAGCTTCCCTCACCCAAGCATTCCCTGCACTCTCCTTACCCGCCACCACTCCCCCCAAACCACCCACACCCCCCCCCCCCCCCCCACACCCTCCTTCAGACCTCCTGCTCCTCACCGCCATCATCATCATCGCCATCCTCCCCATGGCTTTGGGAACGCTCTACGCCATCCTCAAGTGGCGGCAGACGGAGCAGCACCTGCACTGGCAGGAGTTCGCCACCTTCCACTCCCACGGCCCCACCACCGCCTCCGAGAGACAACCCCTCACTGGCTCTGCTGCTGACGCTACCTTAGACCCTTTCTCTGGTGATGCTGCTGGTGCTGGTGGTGGGGGTGACACTAGCCCTTCCGCCTTATTCTCCCCGCGCCCCCTTGCCCCGCACCATCGCCCGTCCTCTCCCCCACCGTTCCCACCCGCCCTTGGAGGGGTGGATGACGGGCCAGCGTCGTCGTCCGCAGTGGCGGGCGGTGGGAGGTCTAGAGGCGGCAGGCGGATCAGGGCCATGGATTTTGGTGAGGAGGACTGGTAGCTGCGATGGTGGACGGTGGATCATCAGCATTGCCAGCAGCAGCAGCAGCAGCAGCAGCAGCATCGTCATAAGCAAGGGTGGCTGGCAGGAGGTTCAGTGGCAGCAGGAGGATCAGGGGGACGGATTTTGGAGAGGACTGATAGCCGTGATGGGAGAGGCATCGTCACCATCATCGTCATCACCAGTGGTGGGAGATCCGAACCCGAAGCTACTGGAGCCATAGGTTGATGGCAAGTGGATGCCATGTGATGCAATATTCGAATCACTCATGGATCAGTGCTTGGCTATCTGTCCTGTAAATTGCATATTGCGCTCAACTTAAGCAACGGCAACGCCACTCTTCCTACTGATATGACCACACGAGTGCCGACACAATTTTCACTGTGATTTTTTTAGTAGGACTGCATAGCATACAGTATTCTTCAAGTGGAGAATCAGCCGCTATTGATAATTGCCATCTCCCTCAGCACCTCCAGCCACCGAGCCCTCGCCGCTGCCTCCCCCCCTGCCTCCTCGCCTTTAGCCGCTTGATCCACTGCATGTTGCTCCACTGCCTGTTGCTCCACTGCCTGATGCAACAGGCGGAACCTGAGGGACATGGACATACAGAATCATGAAAGTCTACTGGAAAAGAATGGTGGTCTGATCCACTGCCCTGTGCGCACAGCTCCCTCCCCAAATCAGCTGTGGTCTGATCCACTGCCCTGTGCACACAGCTCCCTCCCCAAATCAGCTTTCTCACCTGTCCTCACTCCCTTTCCTCACCTCTCCTAACTCTCCTCACTCTCCAAACCACCGGACAGCAGGAACCACATGCCAACCACCGGACAGCAGGAACCACATGCCAACTGCCACCCCAACAGTCTTCATAGCGCGCTCAGTACCCTAAACCCCAAAACATAATCCCCTCCCTAACCTCTCCTCACTGCCCTTCCTCACTGCCCTCACTTCCCCGGGCATCAGCCAGGGCCATCCACATACCAATGATATAAGGTTGGTTTTGAGACGTCTCAAAAGCATCCACATACCAATGATATGAGGTTGGTTTTGAGACGTCTCAAAAGCATCCACATACCAATGAGATAAGGTTGGTTTTGAGAAGTCTCAAAAGCATCCACATACCAATGATATAAGATTGGTTTTGAGACGTCTCAAAAGCATCCACATACCAATGGCCACCTTATCGCTTTCCCAATCCATAAACACAGCTTTGACCAACTCTGCCGGACCATGAGTCAGAGGCACTTCCCTTCTTTCAACTGTCCTTGCCCGATCTGGTTTTCACCTCCCCTTATTGTCCCGGCTCCCCTCTCCTAATTCCCCTTTCTCACCATTCCTCACTCCCCAAGGCATCAGCCAGCGGTATCCACATGGCAATTGCTGCCTCATCGCCCCTCATAGCATCTACCATAACCCCTTCCATGCTCTTGAGTCGACTCAAAAGCAGACTCATCTCCCCTCACAGCATCTACCATAACCCTTTCCATCCCTCTCCCCCACACCACGTCCCACATCTCCCCCACCGCTCTAGTTTTCTCTCACTACTTCTCACCTTTCCTCACTGCCAAGAGCGTCAGCCAGGGGAATCCACATGCCAATGGCTGCCTCATCGCCCCTCATGGCATCCGCCATCACCGCCTCCATCCCCTCCCCCCGCACCACCTCCCACATCTCCCCCACCACCCCAGCGGCATCCCCCCATTGGTCCAGAGAGGAGTGGGCAGCGGAGAGGAGGGAGAGGAGGGGGAGGGAGGCCACGTGGGAGGGGCCGAGGAAGGAACGGAGGGAGGGCAGGGCGGAGAGGAGGATAGGGAGGGCTTCGTTCGGGCGCTTGAGGGAGAGGAGAAGAGAGGCGAGGTCCGTTGCCGTGCCTGGGACGGGGGAGAGGGGATGGAGAAACGGGTAGGGGAGAGGAGGGGAGCGGGGATGGAAGAGAGCAAAAACAATGTTCTATTTAAGGGCACCGTCAAAACTGTTCTCTGCCCACCCCCCAGAACATCTCCTGCTTCCCCACTCAGCCCACAACACACGTCTCCCTTCCACTCATCCACAGCCTGCACCCACGGCTTTTTCCTTATCTTTGAGCGCCCACTGCAAGTGAGTGTGCCTTGAGGCGTCCCTTTTCCCCTCCCACGATTCGCATCCTCCCTTTCCCCCTCCTCCCTCCCACTTGACCATGGCCTGCAGCAAGAGTGAAAGGTGCTCTCTCCTTATACTGAGGGCCTACTGCAAGGGAGGTGGCTTATAAGTTCAACTGCCACAGGGTGCTCCCCCTCCCTCCCACTCACCCACGGCCTGCAGCAGGTGGTCGGGATGCTCCTTTCTGATGCTCAGCGCCCTCTGCAAAGGAGCCACGGCCATTTCACTCCGCCCAGTGCGCTTTAGGTGCAGTGCCACGTGGGAGAGAGCTGCTGCCGCCTCATCGCTCCGCTGATGAACTGCTGGCATGGCTGCTAGCACCTTCATCGCCCTCTTGCTCACTGCCTGGTGTGAGAAGAAGGGGGTGAAGTGGACCAAGGTGGGGAGAGTGATGCGAAGCAGCAGTGATGGAAGAGAGCAGAGAGAGCAGAGAGAGCAGAGAGAGCAGAGAGAGCAGAGAGAGCAGAGAGAGCAGAGAGAGCAGAGAGCAGAGTATCGCTCGAGAAATCAACGGCAACAGAAGCGGCAGGAGAGAGCAGAGGTGCTGTCTCCTCACTGCGCTCGTGAGGCGCTGGCACGGCTGCTAGCACCCGTGCTTAGCGTGGATGGAGGGGGGCGAAGTGGAAGAAAGAATGAGAGTGTTATGAACAGGAACTGGTGGGAGAGCAGGGATTGCAGGGTGTTTTTGAGAATTCTCAAAAACACCCTGCAAAATCAAGGACTTCTGGTGGGAATCATTGGGAAAGGGGGCAAAAAGATCACGTGATATAAGGTTGGATTTGAGACGTCTCAAAATCATTGGGAAAGGGGGGCAAAAAGATGAGTGAACGTGAAGGAAAGGCTGCTGCCACCAGCCACAGCATGCGTGACCGTGGCAAACTGCGGGTTTCTTTCTTTCGCACCCAGACTCTCACCTGCTTTAAGCCAGCTCAAAAGCAAACCTTCATCTCACCTAAGTTCCTCTGAGGCAGCCAGTGCACACATGTTGCCAATCCCTTGTTGCCAATCCCTTGGTTTTGTCGTCCATAAGCCCTCAATCCTCACCTGAGCCTCGTCCACAACCCCTCGTTTCTCACCTCAGCTTCCTCCGCCTGCCCTATCTGCCAGTACACGTCAGCAGCCAGCGCATGCGTCCTCGCCACGGCAGGGTGTTCCTTCCCAAGCTCCCCCTCCTGCACCGCAGCGCTCTCCCTCAACGCCTCCAGCGCCAACACCGCCATGTCCACCGCCTCCTCCCCCCCTCCTTCCTCTCCCCTTCCTTCCTCTCCCCTTCTCTCCCCCGCTTCCCCTCCGCCTTCCCCTCCCTCTTCCCTGTTCATTTTCTCTTTGCTATCAACTTCCGCCTCTCCCTCCCCACTCTCCCCCCCTTGCAGGAGCCCCGAGTGAAGGATGATGTCGACAGTGGCGAGGTGCACAGAGGCGAGGTCCAGGGGGGAGAGGGAGGGCGGAGGGGAGGGGGAGGAGAGGAGGGAAGAGAGAAGGGCGGCTGCTGCTGACAGGTGGTGGACGGCCGGAGAGGCGTCGCCCCGACCCGCATACACTGCTGCTAGGAGTCTAGAAAAGGGGAGCCGGAGCACGGGGGAAGCATGGAAGAGGGGAAGGGGGGCTGGGAATCGGTGAAGGTAGCTTGGAGGTGCTGTTGCCCTCCAAAATAGATGCCCTGGCTGACAACACCTGCATACACGGCTGCTAGCTGACAGGGAAGGGGAGGCAAGGAGGGGCCCGAGAGGAGAGAAAGACTCACATGAGATGAAAGACTCACATGAGATGAAAGACTCCCATGAGATGAAAGACTCACATGAGATGAAAGACTCACATGAGATGAAAGACTCACATGAGATGAAAGACTCACATGAGATGAAAGACTCACATGAGATGAAAGACTCACATGAGATGAAAGACTCACATGAGATGAAAGACTCACATGAGATGAAAGACTCACATGAGATGAAAGACTCACATGAGATGAAAGACTCACATGAGATGAAAGACTCACATGAGATGAAAGACTCACATGAGATGAAAGACTCACATGAGATGAAAGACTCACATGAGATGAAAGACTCACATGAGATGAAAGACTCACATGAGATGAAAGACTCACATGAGATGAAAGACTCACATGAGATGAAAGACTCACATGAGATGAAAGACTCACATGAGATGAAAGACCCACATGAGATGAAAGACCCACATGAGATGAAAGACTCACATGAGATGAAAGACTCACATGAGATGAAAGACTCACATGAGATGAAAGACCCACATGAGATGAAAGACTCACATGAGATGAAAGACTCACATGAGATGAAAGACTCACATGAGATGAAAGACCCACATGAGATGAAAGACTCACATGAGATGAAAGACTCACATGAGATGAAAGACTCACATGAGATGAAAGACTCACATGAGATGAAAGACTCACATGAGATGAAAGACTCACATGAGATGAAAGACTCACTTGAGATGGGGAGCGAGGAAAGGGGAGCGAGGAGACGAAGACTCACATGAGATGATCTGTCTAGTCTGGATAAAAGACAAGCCAAGTCATGTAATATGCACGCAAGGTAAAATCTAGAAGATCCTGACGGCCTGGAGCGCAACCAAATAATAATCTCAACCAATCATGCAGCGCCAACTCACCGGTGGTCTGCCACCTCCTTCATAACAGCCTCCTCATATTCCCTCCTCACCTCCTCCCTCCCCCTCCCCTCCAACTCCTCCCTCACTCTCTCCCTTAACTCCTCCCCTTCCATCCCTCCTCTCTCCCCACTCTCCCCTCCCCCACCTCTCCCCTCCCCACCTCTCCCCTCCCCCCCACTCCCCTCCTCCCCTCCCATCCTCTCCTCCACCTTCCTCCTGTGCGCCTCATGCAGCTGCAGGGCTCTTGTCGCCATGTCATGGGCGTCGTCTAGCTGCATGTGCCGCGCACACTCCTCCCCCACGTGCTGCAATGCGTCTGCTACTCGTGGGTCGTCTGCACCCAGTGCCTCCTCCTGCAGCTGTAGAGCGGTCCTGGAAGGGGATTCGGAAGAAGAGCGAGGAGAGGGGTTCGGAAGAGGAGAGAGGAAAGGGGTTAAGCTGGCTGAGAGCGTAGGCCTGCCATGGGCATGGTCCAACCACATGTGTCGTGTCGCACGGGCCCGCCGATGACACACGGGCCCGCCTATGACACACGGGCCCGCCTATGACACACGGGCCCGCCTATGACACACGGGCTGGGCACACTCCGCCCCTGTGTGCTGCAATGCGTCCGCTACCCGTGGGTCGCCTGCACCCAGTGCAGTGCCGCCTCCTGCAATGATAGAGCGGTCCTGGACACGAGAGGACAGGGAGCAGTTAACTGGTTGTTGGCCGCCATTCCACGACCTGCTAAGACTAGACTGAGAGGGGGTAATGCGATTGTTCTTGAGTGGATAGCACAATGCAACCGAGATGACTTTTGAGTCGACTCAACCGCATCCCATCTTGCAAGCAGATGGTCAGCAGCTCGTCTTCACCTGGTAACTGGTTTGTTGCTGAAGTTGTACCTCACCTGGTCCTCACCTGTATGCCCTCATTGCAGATTCCATGTCCCCCGTGGCACTGCTGACGTCAGCTCTGAGCATGTGCATGGCAAACCCCACCATATGAATCGCATCTGCCGCCCCTTGTGCCGCTATTGCTGCTGCTTCCTCCTCCTCTCCCCCATCAACACCCTCTTTTCTCCCATTCTCTTTTCTTCCACTCTCCAATCCTCCACTCTCCAAACCTCCACTCGCCCCTCCCCCTGGCCCCATCTCCTGTGCCCTTCCAGTCCGTTCTTGCTCCCGTGCAAGGCTCTGAAGCTTCTTGGCTGCTTCCAACGCCGCCTCACACTGTACAAGGAGCGAGAGGCACTCCTCTGGGTCGCCGAGCCTGTAGGCGCAGGGGGGGGCGGGGGGAAGAGGAAGGGGGGGCGAGGGGAAGGGGGGAGGGGGGAGGGTGGAGGGAAGGGGGAGAGGGGAGGGGTGGTGGGGAAAGCAGGAAGGAGGGCCGGGGTTAAGAGACGAGCAGCAGTAGACGCGAACAGAGGCCCCCACAGTGCATGAGGAGAGATATACAACCCTCTGGGTGGTCCTGTAGGGAAGGAGGAGAAGCAGGGAGGTGAAAGGGGTGGGGGGCACACTGCACTTGGTGATATGAGCAGGGCGAAAGAAGAAGATTGTAACCAGGAATACTGTAGACTTGCTCCTGCTGCCTACCACAACGACGCCACTATCATCACCCCTCTGTCATTCACACTTCCAGCAGCAAATCGCCAGCATGTCATCACGCCACCATGCCATCACTCCATCATGCCATCTCGCCACTTCGCCATCACATCATCACCTTGCATGGCATGCGGCCATGAGATGAAGGCACATGGCTCGCACTGGGTCCCCCTCGATGGCAACATCGTTGAACACCTGGTGGATGGGGCACACAGGGACAGGGTTCAGGGTTTGGGATTCAAAGAAACAAGAAGAAACACAACAAAGGGAACACAGCATGCAGCCACGACATGCAGGCACATGGCTTGCACCGGTTCTTGGGTGATGCGCATCAAGGGCTCAGGGTTTAAGGTTCAAAGCAACAAGAGACGAACGACAACGGAAACGATTCAAGTAACCTTTCTCACCTTCCACGCTCACTCCACCACAGGTAGCACCTCCCCCTGCTCACCTCCCACGCCTTTTCCACCACAGGTAGCACCTCCCCCGCGTCCCTGCCCTGCGCCAGGTACGCCTGCGCCAGCCGCAGCCTGAGTCCCGCCACCAGCTCGTGCCTCTCACCGTACGCCCGCCGCGCCTCCTCCACCACCCCCTCCAGCACGCCCACCGACACGTCGTCCGAACCTAAATCCGAGCCTAAATCCGAGCCAGAGTCCGAATCCGTGTCCGATCCTGCGTCTGACCCTGTCTGTGCACCATCCCTGATTGGCCGACCACCGTTGCCGCCGCTACCACCGCCGCCACTGCCGCCGTCATTGCCGCCGATCTTGGTGCTGAAGGGACGTGGGTGCTCGAGGACGAGCGGCGACAGGCGCGGGAAGGAGAGCCCAGGGAGAGGAGGTTGACGCGGTGCAGAGCGGTACAGATGGGCGGGTGATGATGACGTGGCGGGCAGCGTGACAACGCCTGGCTGTCTGACAGCCTGGCCACGGATCTCCGGCTGTGCGTCGGCGAAACGTCCTACGTGGAGATCACAACGGCTGACTGTATGACAGCTGGCGGAACATGCCGATCCAGATCGCGCGACCCTATAAGAGACATCTCGTTTGAAAAAATCGACGAATGCAGTCCTGGAAGAGATCGACGGCTCGGATCTGACCCCAACTCTGCTGCGGCTCGAACTTAACGGCTCGGATCTGACCCCAACTCTGCTGCGGCTCGAACTTAACGGCTCGGATCTTATCACGAACTGGTGGCGGCCGTCGTGAGCCGATCGGTACGCTCTGTCTAACGGCCGGTGGAAGCTACCTGCCGGCCAGAAAACACCTTTTCCCGGCCCGTCGGCAGATTCTCCCCGTGCGAGCGCCGTCCAATCTCCGCCAGTCGCGGCGGGCCTGATCTGGCGCTCCGGCGCGGCTAGGCGGGGGGTGGCATGGCGCAGGGCGACGAGGCGCAGCAGACGAGACGAGCGCGAGTGGCGCACGCGATGCATGGGAGGAGAGGTGTGGGAGCTGGCAGCTTCGATTCGAGAAGGCTCAAACCGAAATCACTAACACCTGCGCAAGCAGCTTGCTGGTGACGTAGCAGAATGGTGCAGAACGGCGCGAAACGAGCGGAAGTGGAGGAGCGTGGAGTGCGTGGGAGCGTGGCGGGTGGGTAGGAGGATGAACCAGTTGGAATGCGACGGGACACAAGTGGACCCGCAGGCTAGGGGTAAGTGATTTATGATGACATACTGTAGGGATTAGGAGGTTTGCCTTGAGCAGTGAGCACGGAGCGGGTGTTTGGGCCTCGGTTCATCGTTAGCACGCACCTCGGGTCTTTCGCAATTGTTGGAGGCCAATCACGGGGAACGAACACGGGTTTATTCAGGGAGTGAACAAGCCCCAAACAAACCTAAATCTAGGTCCAGGGGCAAACTGAAACATCTGATTCGATACCGATTCAGTGCTGTACGATAAAATTTCTTCTAATCAAGAAGCAATACAGCTACAATCAAGTAGCTCAACTATAGAATGGACGCACATCCTACCTTCTAGTCCTCGGTATTTTTTGGGGCATTACATTCTGCAAGGCCTGTGTTTGCAGCCAATTAAGCCTTACCTTACGCCACCACAAACCATCGGCAATTGCATATCCACTCTCCCTGATTCTTCCTCGAATGGGTACCATCCTCGAGGCAAACTTGCATGGCATGATGACAACAAAATGACAGCAGATTCACCCTAAGGCGCAGGAGCTCCATCTCGGCAATGACAGGGCCACGCGAGCCTCAGAACTTTTGCTTCGGCAACAGGGAGTGTTCCAGTCCAGCCCCTATGCACCTAGGATTGCAGATCCACTCTGTCGCGCAGCCCCAGCTCCGCAATGACGTGGCAGTACGAGTCCCAGTTCTTCCTCCTCAAATACTTGAGCAGCTTGCGCCGCCGCGCCAGCATGCCATCCAGCCCGCGCCGCGAGTGCAGGTCCTGATGGAGGGAGAGATGTTGGGGGAATGGGAAGGGAATGTGAGGGAAAGAAAGACGCACACCAGTATGAGTCCCTCTCCCAGTATGCCAGCATGCCATCGAATCCCCCGCTGTGAGCGCCGGTCCTGATGGAGGGGAGGCAGCGACAAGGGGAGGTGTGGGGCAAGCAAACACATATACCAGTCCCACAGCAGAGCCAGAGCAGGACGAGCCCTAGTTCTTCCTCCTCCTCCTCAGGTATTTGAGCAGCTTGCGCTGCTGCGCCGGCATTTCATCGAGGCCCCGCCGTGAGTGCAGGTCCTGGAGAAGAGGAGAGAGGTGACGAGCATTTATCCGTGATTTTGAGGCGCCTCAAAAGTCCTGGAGAAGAGGAGAGAGGCGATGAGCATTTATCCGCGATTTTGAGGCGCCTCAAAAGTCCTGGAGAAGAGGAGAGAGGCGATGAGCATTTATCCGCGATTTTGAGGCGCCTCAAAAGTCCTGGAGAAGAGGAGAGAGGTGACGAGCATTTTGATGTGTTTTATAGATAAGGCATACTCATGAGCTCATGAGAAAAAACCCATCTTATCTGCATCCATCCCGTGGCATCCATGTTTGGGTTGGAGATGTGCCATGTACGCAATGCGAGAGGTGAGCACAGCAACTGTTGGTGGAGTGACAAAGTAACATCATGGGATTGTTACTCTAAAATGAGGCACAGGGTGACTTGGACTAACCTTCTTGTGTGTTTGGAGGTGCTGGGCCATGTAGGCAATGCGAGATGTGAGCAGAGCAACTGTTGGTGTGAATCATGGGAGGAAGAGGGGGTTTGAATGCAGGAGAGATTAGGGGAGGAGATGGGGGGAGAATTGGGGGGGGTCGTAAAACGATTGCTTAATAAGATAATTCAAATGGCTGATGAAACAAAAACAGGGGGATAAAAATGAAAAAAACAAGCTTCCCCTTGTGCACTCACTCAGCCTCTCTTTCAGTTTTCTTGCTCTCTTACTCTCTCACTCGTTCCCTCACTTACTCTGCACCACATGGTAGAACTCGTATCCTCCTCATGCACCACTTGAAAAACGATTCCCTCACTCCCTCCCTCACCCACCGCACCTGCACTGGACTGGAACCCCCGTCCCCCTCAAGCAATCCTCGTCACTACTTCACCCCCTCACATCTCCTATACCCGCCTCTTATCCCAAATATGTGCTCACACCCCTTCTCTCATTCCCTCACTCTCTCTGCACTCTAAACCGCTGCTTCTCTCTCCTCACTCCCTCACTTCGTCACTCATTCAGTCACACATTCTGCCACTCCTTCACTCATCATTCCCTCACTAACTTTGCAATTCACATATGACTCGAGCCCGAATCCCAATCATGCACTCCCAACTGCTCCTTCACTCCCCTCATACATTCCCTCACTCTCCCACTCACTCCTTCATTCACTCTCACTCACCCCCTCACTCACTCTCACTACCTCAACCCACCCCTGCCTCACTCACTCTGCACTTCACTAGACCCCGTATCCCCCTCGTGCAATCTGAACCGTTCCTTCACTCCCCGCATCTCCTCAACCCGCCGCTCCTCTGCTGACATCAGCGATGGGTGCAGGTACTGGGGTGGAAGAGGGGGTGGGGGTGGGGGGAAGAAGGAAGGAGAGGGGGGGAGGCGGAGGGGGAGGGGAAGGGGGAGGGGACGGGGGAGGGAGAGGGGGAGGGGGAGGGGGAGGGAGAGGGGGAAGGGGGAGGGGGAGGGGGAGGGGGAGAAGGAGAGGGAGGGGGAGGGGGAGGGTTGGATGCTGTTACCGAGGGGAAACCGCGGGAATTGAGACCGGTGCTACTGACATCTCCTTCTGCCACCGCTGCTCTGCTGACGGCAGCGACGGGTGCAGAGCAGTGCAGGTACTGTGGGTATTGAGAGGAAGGCAGAGGGGTATGGATGCTGCTACTGGTGGGGAGGGAAGAAAGAGAGGCACTACTGACATCTTCTCCCGCCGCCGCTCCTCTGCTGACATCAGGGACGGGTGCAGGTAAGGGGGGAGGAAGGGAGGGACGGAGCCTGGGGGGAAGGGGAAGGAGGGAGAGGGATGAATGCTGTTACCAAAAGGGGGGAAGGCGAAAGAGGGTGATTAAGGCCGGTGCTGACAACATCTCCTGCCGCAGTTCCCCTGGGCGCAGGTACTGAGAGAAGGTCAGGAAGAGAGGATTCATGACAGCGACACTCTAGAATTCTCAAAAAACAGTTGAGGCTTTGGGAGGGTGGCTGTCTCAATCCCCTCTCTCCCCCCCACCCCCCCTTCAGTACCAGCATGCCTCCAGCCCCTTGCCCTCCCCCCATCTCCCCGCTTTTCCACTATCTCCCTCCCACAAAATCCTATCGTGTTCAACAACCCTGCCCCCACCCATCCCATGATCCTCTCTCCCCCCCCCAACTCTCAACACTCTCTCCACCGGCCCCAACTCTCTCCCCCCCCCCTTCCCCACACCTTGTCCAGGAGGTCCAGCTTCGGACGCGCCACAGGCGGGCCCGCGCGGAAGTTCCGCCCATACATGCGCGGATCCCCCCCATATCCCCGCGGGTCCCGCCCATACCCCCGTCCGTCCACATACATCCGCGCATCCCCCCGCCCTTGCGCGTCCCCCCGCGCCTCCCCGTCCGCTCCGCTCCCCGCGTCGGATCCGCCAATAGGACCCGCGAAAGGCGGCGGAGTGAGGTCGGGCGCTGCGAACCATGATCGCAGACGAGGCAGAAGCGGTGACTGTGCGACGTTGCCTGTGATGCGATGGCATGACGAGGGGGTCGAACCTGCTGCCAGTTAAAAGAGATCGACGGTTGAGAAAAAAAACGCGACGGCAGGGAATGAAGACGCGCTGAAACGGAGAGAAACACGAGCAAGAACTACGATAAACTAGAAAGCCAACGGCGGCAGTTCGAGTCATTTCCATTTTAGTCACCTGCACCGGGATCTGCGCTAGCTGTAGATGAAGAGTAGAAGCGCGGAAGCCCGGCAGCAGGGAAAGAGAATGCGCCGCGAGAAATGGCGGAACGATACCGCGTGGCAGCCATGGTTGTGACGCCAAGGCGAGAAACGAGACAGCGCCGGAACGTTTGGAGCACTTCGTCAAACAAAAAGCAAGGTGCAAATCCAGATCCATTTACATGCGAGCCTCGTCATAAAATTGCATACCATTTGATGTGCATATTGTCGAATTCACGCATCACATGATTTGTTGCATCCTCAATTCGGCAATTGAAACTCGGTTTGAATGTAGAAGCCAACGGGCCCTAGGGTTTGGCGCGAAGACTTGGCAACTTGGCACCACGAGCTCGCCTTGAGCGTGGTTACAAACTTTCCCTCCGACGGGATGCGAACGTCGCATTCTTCGTCAGTGACACACAGCCCAATGCGCAGTGTTTGGATTGGGAACAAGCCGTATTGGCGACGGGATCTGTGGCATGCAATACACAAAACCCCAAGACGACGACCATGTCCCTCTCTGCGCAGGGTTCTCTCTACCCGAACTGCCTTGGGATTGACGAGAGATTTCAATGCTTCCTTACCGAGTGAATCAAGTGATGAGTCGGACCAGAGATAGCTAGGCGGAGCACACAAGCAAGTCACCTAGGCAGCTGTGCTCGTCACTGTTGCATACGACCCAGCTTGTACGCGTCGTTACGCACACAGATTAGCCGCAAACCGTCTCCGAAACTGCAGGTCCTCTCGCTAGCGGCGCAGAAGTCTTGCGTCACTTTGCGAGATTCGCGCAACGAAATGGCGACAATCGTCCACTCAATGATCTTCGCAGACGCTGAATCACGAATGGGAACGAGCGATGGTCCTATCGGGAGAGCAAGGAGAAGCAGCAGTAACCAATGCGGCTGGAAGGGAGTAGCTTTCCTGGAAGAAGGTTGAGCTCACTTCGTTTCGTCTATCAACCATAAATCCTCCCGATTCGCACCAGCGGTGAGATCCAGTCGTTTCGTCGATGTCGGAAAACGTACATTGCGTGCACGTTTCCGTAATGGCAATTCCTGCTGGCCGCTTGTTAGCCGATCGACTCGCCTGCTGCTGCTGCTGGCTCCATGTCACGTTGCATTCCCCTGTGATTCCGGGCCGACCCTCTCTGATACCAGCCTCTGAGACGCTTAACGCTCCCTTTCTCTTCACATGGAGAGAAGGGGACTGTCAGGTGCGATGTAGCCCCTTCCTCACGCCACCTCTTCACCTACGGCGTACCTTCCTCCTTACTATCCAAGGTGCACTTTCCTCACGCTTCCTCCATCGCGCCTCGAGTGCTTAACCCTCCACTCACGCAACCCAGACAACTGAGAGTCTGTCCCCTAGCACTTCCTCTCCACCGTATGCCTCCCACCTTCACCTATAAATCCACCATTATGGTCTCCCAAGGACTCATCAGCTCTAGTCCTTGGCTCTCCTCCCTCTATCCACCCAGTAACTCTCTGCTCCAGCTTTCCGCCCTCAGGCTCCACGCCTCTCAACCCTCCTTCCTCTCCTAATCGAGCAGACATTCTCATCCGAATTCAGCCCTCAGGCTCCTCCGCCTCCAGCCGTGCCGCCAGACTTGCCCCCCAATCCGCCTCTCTTGCAAGCCCTCATGGCTTGTGGCACTCGCGCGCTGCTGCTGGCAGCGCTGGCCATGGGGCTGCTGGTTGTCTTGGTGTGTGGAGCGAGGGACATAGCCCCAAGGGAGGCAGGCAAGGCCGTGGCAGGGAAGCAGAGGAAGGGCGCTCGCATTCTGGCTGCTGAGTCATTTTCTCACCACAACACACTGCCAGACTACCTCTCCCACATCCCCCGCCGCAAGGCTCTTGCGACCAGTGAGTGCCTCTACTCTTCGCGTTCCTCTTTTACCCCCACTGGCCCATCTGCCCTCTTTAGTAGGTGCGTTGCCCCATCACCCTGTCCTCCCTCCCCCCTTGAGTAATCTAACCCCATATCCCTGCCCCCCTCCCCCCTGCCCCCTCTGTTTATTTAGCGTGCGGGCGCACGACAGTGACGATCCACTCGCAGAACCTTGGGCCGTTCGACCTGAGCAACGACATCTTCAACATGAGCTTCTACAACGGCTGCGCCTACAACGCCACCAGCCCGCTGCGCGTGGCACTATGCTCCAACTTCAACAATGTGTGGGACGGCTCCCTGGACAACCCCGCGCCCAACCCCACACAGTACCAGATGGGTCCCATCTTCGGGCAATCTTCGGGGGGATATTGTGAGATGTGGATGAACCGAGGGGCGTCTGGCAATGTGCAGATGTTTCCGGGGGAGACGGTGAACATTGTTTATGCGTGGACGTATGCTTTCCTCCCCTGTGCTCAGGAGCTGCGCTTCAGCAATGGCAACAGTTTCTCTATGACCAACAACAACACCGAGTGCGTCCCTGCTACCATCATCTAGTGGCCCCATCAACAGCCACCCATGAGTGCTCCGCTAGCATCTAGAACTCCCATGGTATTGGAGGTCTCTTTGCCGACCTCTGCTGCACTTAGCTGGCCTCTGCTGCCCAAGCTCTAGAGTTGCTTCTAAATGCTCTGAGTTTAGTGGTTGCAGCAGCAGTGCAAGGGAGGTTATAGGGGCAGTAGACTGACGGCAGAGAGGGGATGCTTGTGGTTTTTTTTGGTCCAGCTCTTCTGTTGTTGAGGGGGGTGGGTTGGCAGGGGTAAGGGGGGAAGGAAACGGGGGGGGGAGGGGTAGGTAGGATAATGCATGGCTTGCATGTTAAGTGCATTTGTATGTTTCAGGCATGCACATTTTATAGTACGTGTATTATTATTATTTTTGCTGGTGTGGAGCGTGATGATTCGCTGATATCGTGTAATACTCTATGCGTGGATGATTCTCGTGTGTCTCTGGATCTGAAGCTCTGGCGCTACGTGTGTCTGTTCCCTGTCCCCTCAGGCTGTTTCAGCTGGCGTGGCAGGTGCGAACGGGGACAATATACAGCTGCAAAACCCTTCAGAAGGTAGGTGAGGGAGAGAGGGATGTAGAGAGAGCAAGGAGTATATAGGGGGAGGTGGAGTGAGACAGGGGCTCTTTCAGTTGGCATGGCAGGTGCAAACGGGGACAATATACAGCCGCAAAACCCTTCAGAAGATAGGTGAGAGAGCGAGACAGAAGGAGGGGGAGTGGATAGGGGGGATGGCGTGAGACAAGGCTGCTGCTGCTGGCGTGGCAGGTAAGAACGGGGACAAACTAGAGCTGCAAAACTCTCCAAAAGACAGGTGAGAGAGCGAGATAGAGAGAGGGGGAGTTTCCGACACCAGGTGACTGACAGGTGGGGCCTGTCAACGTACAACTGATCTCCTTCCCGGCCTCGCTCCTCTCCTCCCCCCCACTTCCCATCTCCGGTTTACACCACTTTTTTACGCCCCTTTTTCCAGGGAGTTTCCGCCACCAGATGTGTGACGGTGGGGCCTGTCAACGTACAACCGATCTCTACTGGTGGGGAGTGATGGCACGGCACCTCATACATCTACTTCATCAGCGCTTCTAATTTTAAGAGTAAGTCACAGCAATTCAGTGGGGCCTGTCAGCGTACAAGTGGGGAGTGATGGCACCTCGTACATCTACGTCATCAGCGCTTCGACTTTCAAGAGTATGCCACAGTAAAGGTCGTGCAAGCATTCCGTACCCCAGCAGTGCGGGCAGTTGTTGGGCTCTGATGGATGACACGCCGTACATTAACTTCATCTTTGCAGCGAGTTTGAAGAGAAGCTACATGTACGAGCTATCTTTGTGTGCACCAAGTACAAGTTAATGTAGCGGCACTCGGACACTCCCAATGCACCTTCAATCCCCGCCTCCCTCCCCTCCTGTTTGCCTAAACCCCACCCATTGCAGCGCTGCATAAGGTGCAAGTGACGGATGGCGGCACTCCCATTGCCTGGATGGATGGATCCGGTGTCAGGGCGAGTAGCATCATGGATGGATGCATTGCTCTCTCCCCTCTCAGCATAAGGGTACCCCCTTCCCCCCACCCCTCACACCCTCTCGCTTGTATCTCAATCATGCCCTCTCGCCTGTATCCCAATCATGCCCTCTCGCATGTATCCCAATCATGCCCTCTTGCCCGTATCCCAATCATGCCCTCTCGTTTGTATCCCATTCATGCCCTCTCGCGTGTATCCCAATCATGCCCTCTCGCGTGTATCCCAATCATGCCCTCTCGCCTGTATCCCAATCATGCCCTCTCGCTTGTATCCCAATCATGCCCTCTCGCCTGTATCCCAATCATGCCCTCTCGCCTGTATCCCAATCTTGCCCTCTCGCCTGTATCCCAATCATGCCCTCTCTCCTGTATCCCAATCATGCCCTCTCGCCTGTATCCCAATCATGCACTCTCGCCTGTATCCCAATCATGCACTCTCGCCTGTATCCCAATCATGCACTCTCACCTGTGTCCCAATCATGCCCTCTCGCATGTATCCCAATCATGCCCTCTCGCCTGTATCCCAATAATGCGCTCTCGACTGTATCCCAATCATGCCCTCTCGCCTGTATCCCAATCATGCCCTCTCGCCTGTATCCCAATCATGCGCTCTCGCCTGTATCCCAATCATGCCCTCTAGCGTGTATCCCAATCATGCCCTCTAGCCTGTATCCCCTTCATGCCCTCTCGCCTCTATCCTAATCTTGTCCTCTCGCTTGTATCCCAATCATGCACTCTCGCCTGTATCCTAATCCTGCACTCTCGCATGTGTCCCAATCTTTCCCTCTCGCCAACATCCCAATCATGCCCCCTCACCTGTATCCCAATCATGAACTCTCTCCTGTATCCCAATCATGCCCTCTCGCCTGTATCCCAATCATGCCCTCTCGCGTGTATCCCAATCATGCCCTCTCGCGTGTATCCCAATCATGCCCTCTCGCCTGTATCCCAATCATGCCCTCTCGCTTGTATCCCAATCATGCCCTCTCGCCTGTATCCCAATCATGCTTTCTTACCTGTATCCCAATCATGCCCTCTCTTTTGTATCCCAATCATGCCCTTTTGCCTCTATCCCAATCATGCCCTTTCGCCTGTATCCCAATCATGCCCTCTCGCCTGTATCCAAATCATGCCCTCTCGCCTGTATCCCAATCATGCCCTCTCGCCTGCATCCCAATCATGCACACCAATCATGCCCTCTCGCCTGTATCCCAATCATGCCCTCTCGCCTATGTCCCAATCATGCCCTCTCGCCTGTTTCCCAATCACGCAGTCTCGCCTGTATCTTTATCATGCACTCTCGCCTGTATCCCAATCAGCCCCTCTCGCCTGTATCCCAATCATGCACTCTCGCCCTGTATCCCAATCATGCCCTCTCGCCTGTATCCCAATCATGCCCTCTCGCCTGTATCCCAATCATGCCCTCTAGCCTGTATCCCAATCATGCCCTATTGCATGTATCCCAATCATCCCCTCCCGTCTGTATCCCAATCATGCCCTTTTGCTTGTATCCCAGTCATGCCCTCTCGCCTTTATCCCAATCATGCCCTCTCGCTTGTATACCAATCATGCCCTCTCGCCTGTCTCCCAATCATGCCCTCTCGCCTGTATCCCAAGCATGCCCTCTCGCCTGTATCCCAATCATGCCCTCTCGCCTGTATCCTAATCATGCCCTCTCGTTTGTATCCCAATCATGCCCTCTCGCCTGTATCCCAATCATGCCGTCTCGCTTGTATCCCAATCACCTGTATCCCAATCATGCCCTCTTGCCTGTATCCCAATCATGCCCTCTCGCTTGTATCTCAATCATGCCCTCTCGCTTGTATCCCAATCATACCCTCTCGCATGTATCCCAATCATGCCCTCTTGCCTGTATCCCAATCATGCCCTCTCGTTTGTATCCTAGTCATGCCCTCTTGCCTGTATCCCAATTATGCCCTCTCGCCTGTATCCCAATCATGCCCTCTCGCCTGTATCCCAATCATGCCCTCTCGCCTGTATCCCAATCATGCCCTCTCGCGTGTATCCCAATTATGTGCTCTCGACTGTATCCCAATTATGCCCCCTCACCTGTTTCCCAATCATGCCCTCTAGCCTGTATCCCAATCATGCCCTCTCGCCTCTATCCTATTCTTGCCCTCTCGCTTGTATCCCAATCATGCACTCTCGCCTGTCTCCCAATCCTGCACTCTCGCCTATATCCCAATCTTTCCCTTTCGCATATATCCCAATCATGCCGCCTCATTTGTATCCCAATCATGCACTCTCACATGTATCCCAATCATGCCCTCTCGCCTGTATCCCAATCAGGCCCTCTCGCGTGCATCCCAATCATGCCCTCTCGCCTGTATCCTAATCATGCCCTCTCGTTTGTATCCCAATCATGCCCTCTTGCCTGTATCCCAATCATGCCCTCTCGCCTGTATCCCAATCATGCCGTCTCCCTTGTATCCCAATCATGCCCATTCACCTGTATCCCAATCATGCCCTCTTGCCTGTATCCCAATCATGCCCTCTCGCCTGTATCCCAATCATGCCCTCTCGCCTGTATCCCAATCATGTCCTCTTGCCTGTATCCCAATCATGCCCTCTCGTTTGTATCCCAGTCATGCCCTCTTGCCTGTATCCCAATCATGCCCTCTCGCCTGTATCGCAATCATGCCCTCTCGCTTGTATCCCAATCATGCCCTCTCGCCTGTATCCCAATCATGCCCTCTCGCTTGTATCCCAATCATGCCCTCTCGCCTGTATCCCAATCATGCCCTCTCGTTTGTATCCCAGTCATGCCCTCTTGCCTGTATCCCAATCATGCCCTCTTGCCTGTATCCTAAACATGCCCTCTCGCCCGTATCCCAATCATGCCCTCTCGCCTGTATCTCAATCATGCCCTCTCGTGTGTATCCCAATCATGCCCTCTCGCCTGTATCCCAATCATGCCCTCTCGTTTGTATCCCAATCATGCCCTCTCGCCCTGTATCACAAGCAAGCCCTCTCGCCTGTATCCCAATCATGCCCTATTGCATGTATCCCAATCATCCCCTCCCGTCTGTATCCCAATCATGCCCTCTTACTTGTATCCCAGTCATGCCCTCTCGCCCATATCTCAATCATCCCCTCTCGCGTGTATCCCAATCATGCCCTCTCGCCTGTATCCCAATCATGCCCTCTCGCCTGTATCCCAATCATGCCCTCTCGCCTGTATCCCAATCATGCCCTCTCTCCTGTATCCTAATCATGCCCTCTCGTTTGTATCCCAATCATGCCCTCTTGCCTGTATCCCAATCATGCCCTCTCGCCTGTATCCCAATCATGCCGTCTCCCTTGTATCCCAATCATGCCCATTCACCTGTATCCCAATCATGCCCTCTTGCCTGTATCCCAATCATGCCCTCTCGCTTGTATCCCAATCATGCTCTCTCGCCTGTATCCCAATCATGCCCTCTCGCCTGTATCCCAATCATGTCCTCTTGCCTGTATCCCAATCATGCCCTCTCGTTTGTATCCCAGTCATGCCCTCTTGCCTGTATCCCAATCATGCCCTCTCGCCTGTATCCCAATCATGCCCTCTCGCTTGTATCCCAATCATGCCCTCTCGCCTGTATCCCAATCATGCCCTCTCGCCTGTATCCCCATCATGCCCTCTCGCCTGTATCCCAATCATGCCCTCTCGCCTGTATCCCAATCATGCACTCTCGCCTGTATCCCAATCATGCCCTCTTGCCTGTATCCCAATCACGCAGTCTCGCCTGTATCTTAATCATGCACTCTCGCCTGTATCCCAATCAGGCCCTCTCGCCTGTATCCCAATCATGCACTCTCGCCCTGTATCACAAGCAAGCCCTCTCGCCTGTATCCCAATCATGCCCTATTGCATGTATCCCAATCATCCCCTCCCGTCTGTATCCCAATCATGCCCTCTTGCTTGTATCCCAGTCATGCCCTCTCGCCCATATCTCAATCATCCCCTCTCGCGTGTATCCCAATCATGCCCTCTCGCCTGTATCCCAATCATGCCCTCTCGCCTGTATCCCAATCATGCCCTCTCGCCTGTATCCCAATCATGCCCTCTCGCCTGTATCCTAATCATGCCCTCTCGTTTGTATCCCAATCATGCCCTCTTGCCTGTATCCCAATCATGCCCTCTCGCCTGTATCCCAATCATGCAGTCTCCCTTGTATCCCAATCATGCCCATTCACCTGTATCCCAATCATGCCCTCTTGCCTGTATCCCAATCATGCCCTCTCGCTTGTATCCCAATCATGCTCTCTCGCCTGTATCCCAATCATGCCCTCGCGCCTGTATCCCAATCATGTCCTCTTGCCTGTATCCCAATCATGCCCTCTCGTTTGTATCCCAGTCATGCCCTCTTGCCTGTATCCCAATCATGCCCTCTCGCCTGTATCCCAATCATGCCCTCTCGCTTGTATCCCAATCATGCCGTCTCGCCTGTTTCCCAATCATGCCCTCTCGCCTGTATCCCAATCATGCCCTCTCGCATGTATCCCAATTATGCCCTCTCACCTGTATCCCAATCATGCCCTCTCGCCTCTATCCTATTCTTGCCCTCTCGCTTGTATCCCAATCATGCACTCTCGCCTGTATCCCAATCCTGCACTCTCGCCTATATCCCAATCTTTCCCTTTCGCCTGGATCCCAATCATGCACTCTCACCTGTATCCCAATCATGCCCTCTCGCCTGTATCCCAATCATGCCCTCTCGCCTGTATCCTAAACATGCCCTCTCGCCCGTATCCCAATCATGCCCTCTCGCGTGTATCTCAATCATGCCCTCTCGCGTGTATCCCAATCATGCCCTCTCGCCTGTATCCCAATCATGCCCTCTCGCTTGTTTCCCAATCATGCCCTCTCGCCTGTATCCCAATCATGCCCTCTTGCCTGTTTCCCAATCATGCCCTCTCGTTTGTATCCCAATCATGCCCTCTTGCCTGTATCCCAATCATGCCCTCTTGCCTCTATCCCAATCATGCCCTCTCGCATGTATCCCAATCATCCCCTCCGGTGTGTATCCCAATCATGCCCTCTTGCTTGTATCCCAATCATGCCCTCTCGCCTGTATCTAGACATGGCCAAAATGCGATGCGATGGGATATCACATCGCTGCGATATGTTAAAAACAAAACCGAAATCGCATATCGCGTTTTCGGAGGCGATATTAAAAAATATCGCCTAAAAAAAGCGACGCATCGCGCGATGCGATATAATATCGTATTGCATTTAGGGGCCACTGTTTTCCCGCCCTAAAAATACGTGTTTCCACACCACAGGGCACGACAATGGTGGCTCTCGTAGGTTCGCGCGGAATTAGGTAAGTGAATTGACGGGAGATGGTAATATCGTGGTCCCTCTCTCATGTGGAGCGTGTTTGAGGGGACGGGGTTGGATTCTGTAGATGCAGGGGATTTTAGTGCGGTTGAAGTGGTGGAAATTGGTTGGAGTCCAACCAATTGACTTTGGGGGTCGAGATTTCAGTCCAACCCCCTAAATCCCTTCAACCGCACACCACCACATCCCATCCAAAAAACCCACTCGCCCATCACCCACCACCAACCATAACAAATTTGAACCCCCACCAAACTCCCCTCCCTCAACCACACTGCACTCCTTCCCATCTAGAATTTCCAACCCTTCCTCTAATGTTCTCCAAGCTCTGCTCCTCACACAAACTCCTCCCCCCAAACTGCCGCTTGCCATTTCCGCGCGTCATTCAGCATCACCCCAAGAGAAACCTAGACTAGCTCACCTTCTATTTTTGCTAAGTTCAGGGCCCTCGCCCATGTTCCTCCCCTTGCTGGCGAAATTCTGCGATGCGAACCGCGAAAGTATCGCGCGCGATATCTATTTATCGCATTTTATCGCGCAAAAAAATGCGCGATAAAAACACGATATCGCAAATATCGCGCGATATTATCGCATCGCATCGCCGCGATGTTCGTTATAAAAAAAAAAGATATATCGCTATTGCAAAATGCGATATAATGCGATGCGATGCGATTTAACCATGTCTACCTGTATCCCAATCATGCCCTCTCGCCTGTATCCCAATCATGCCCTCTCGCTTGTATCCCAATCATGCCCTCTCGCCTGTATCCCAATCATGCCCTCTTGCCTGTATCCCAATCATGCCCTCTTGTTTGTATCCCAATCATGCCCTCTTGCCTGCATCCCAATCATGCCCTCCCGCCTGTATCCCAGTCATGCCCTCACGCCTGTATCCCAATCATGCCCTCTCGCCTGTATCCCAATCATGCCCTCTCACCTGTATCCCAATCATGCCCTCTCGCCTGTATCCCAATCATGCGCTCTCACCTGTATCCCAATCATGCCCTCTCGCCTGTATCCCAATCATGCCCTCTCGCCTGTATCCCAATCATGCGCTCTCGCCTGTATCCCAATCATGGCCTCTAGCCTGTATACCAATCATGCCCTCTCGCCTCTATCTTACTCTTGGCCTCTCGCTTGTATCCCAATCATGGACTGTCGCCTGTATCCCAATCCTGCACTCTCGCATGGGTCCCAATCTTTCCCTCTCGCTAACATCCCAATCATGCCCCCTTACCTGCTAAGTTGGTTCCTTACGTTACGTTTACGTACGTGTACGTTTACGTTTACGTACGTTTACGCGATTCTGGTTTTAGGCCTGTATGTACGGGCAGGCTAAAAATTTTCTACCTGCCCAGAAAAAAAAAGAGAGGAGGGAACCCTAGGCAGATTTTTGTACAGAATTCCATTGGCCATTAAGTCTTTTCGTAGGAAGATAGAAAACATCCACAAAATACCAAGTTTCCAACAGGTGCTACGCTTATAACATGCAAACTTGCAGATGCTACCTTCACTCATCCATGCTAGGCTCGTCGTCAACGGGAGTGTCCACATACGCATCATCAGGGATGTCGTTATCATCATCGAGGGGCTCATAGCCATCCTTTGGCTCCTCCCGAATCACTGGAAGTGCCGAAACCATCATTTTCTTGGAGAAGTCGTCATTAAGCTTCTTCACCGTGTGGTAGTTGTGGCTTATGTAAACCAAATCCACAAGACGCTTGGGGCCGAGTCGGTTGCGGCGTGCGGTGTGGATAGACTCCCACACACCCCAGTTCGTCTCGCATGTCGATGCCGACACGCACTGCTTGAGTACCCTGCACGCCAGCTTCGTCAGGTTGGGGCAATCGGAGCCATTCATAATCCACCACTGCACGGGGTCCAAGTGACCCTCCTTGATAAGGATGTGTTCGTCCTTAGCCTTCTGCTCTCCGATTTCCCCCTTCCCTTTGATGTACGTCAACACCTCGCCCTCGACGATCGTGGCCATTGGTTTAATGACATTCGCGACCTTCATAGTCTCTCCCTTGTAGTAGTCGCGCACAAACCGCTTAAAGATTGCGGTGCACTCCTTGTCGTCGTGTCCAAAAAATTTCTCGTATTGGTTGGGTGGATAGAGAATGCGCCCCACCACGTGAAGCGGGCAATTGATGTCATTATTCCACCTATTCCGCACGATCTCCGCAACCCCCTCCTTCTCGGCGCTCTCCAAATCCGCGCACGCCCTATCCACCTGCTCCTCCAAATCGATCATCATTTCGTACATTTTGCCCATGACCTCTTGATTCCCGTCGACTTTCCTCAGCGTCATGTAGACCGGCTTGAGAACGGCAACTACTAGCTCAACGCCCTTCCAGAATCCTTTCCGCTGCACCGTGTCGCGTGCGTCCTTCATTTTGGGCCTCCCCTTCGTGTAATCGTCGAACCCCATCCGTCGCACGCGATGCTCACTCCAATGTCGTCCCAGGACTCTTTCACATCCTTGAGCGCATTCTCCGTCTTCGTCTTGCACTCCTCAAGAAGGCGGCCCATGATGAGCCGACGCCCGGGGGGGGTGAAACCAGTGCCAGCAGCCGCCACCTTCTTCAACATGGTTTCGAAGACCTCGTGTTCAGCCACGTGTGGCGGGATGCGACAAACATGGAAGAACGTCGCAATCTCAATCATGCCCTCTCGCGTGTATCCCAATCATGCCCTCTCGCCTGTATCCCAATCATGCCCTCTCGCTTGTATCCCAATCATGCCCTCTCGCCTGTATCCCAATCATGCCCTCTCGCCCGTATCCCAATCATGCCCTCTCGCCTGTATCTCAATCATGCCCTCTCGCGTGTATCCCAATCATGCCCTGTCGCCTGTATCCCAATCATGCCCTCTCGCTTGTATCCCAATCATGCCCTCTCGCCTGTATCCCAATCATGCCCTCTTGCCTGTTTCCCAATCATGCCCTCTCGTTTGTATCCCAATCATGCCCTCTTGCCTGTATCCCAATCATGCCCTCTTGGCTCTATCCCAATCATGCCCTCTCGCATGTATCCCAATCATCCCCTTCGGTCTGTATCCCAATCATGCCCTCTTGCTTGTATCCCAATCATGCCCTCTCGCCTGTATCTAGACATTGCCAAAATGCGATGCGATGGGATATCGCATCGCTGCGATATGTTAAAAACAAAACCGAAATCGCATATCGCGTTTTCGGAGGCGATATTAAAAAATATCGCCTAAAAAAAGCGACGCATCGCGCGATGCGATATAATATCGTATTGCATTTAGGGGCCACTGTTTTCCCGCCCTAAAAATACGTGTTTCCACACCACAGGGCACGACAATGGTGGCTCTCGTAGGTTCGCGCGGAATTAGGTAAGTGAATTGACGGGAGATGGTAATATCGTGGTCCCTCTCTCATGTGGAGCGTGTTTGAGGGGACGGGGTTGGATTCTGTAGATGCAGGGGATTTTAGTGCGGTTGAAGTGGTGGAAATTGGTTGGAGTCCAACCAATTGACTTTGGGGGTCGAGATTTCAGTCCAACCCCCTAAATCCCTTCAACCGCACACCACCACATCCCATCCAAAAAACCCACTCGCCCACCACCCACCACCAACCATAACAAATTTGAACCCCCACCAAACTCCCCTCCCTCAACCACACTGCACTCCTTCCCATCTAGAATTTCCAACCCTTCCTCTAATGTTCTCCAAGCTCTGCTCCTCACACAAACTCCTCCCCCCAAACTGCCGCTTGCCATTTCCGTGCGTCATTCAGCATCACCCCAAGAGAAACCTAGACTAGCTCACCTTCTATTTTTGCTAAGTTCAGGGCCCTCGCCCATGTTCCTCCCCTTGCTGGCGAAATTCCGCGATGCGAACCGCGAAAGTATCGCGCGCGATATCTCTTTATCGCATTTTATCGCGCAAAAAAATGTGCGATAAAAACACGATATCGCAAATATCGCGCGATATTATCGCATCGCATCGCCGCGATGTTCGTTAAAAAAAAAAAGATATATCGCTATTGCAAAATGCGATATAATGCGATGCGATGCGATTTAACCATGTCTACCTTTATCCCAATCATGCCCTCTCGCCTGTATCCTAATCATGCCCTCTCGTTTGTATCCCAATCATGCCCTCTTGCCTGTATCCCAATCATGCCCTCTTGCCTGCATCCCAATCATGCCCTCCCGCCTGTATCCCAGTCATGCCCTCCCGCCTGTATCCCAATCATGCCCTCTCGCCTGTATCCCAATCATGCCCTCTCACCTGTATCCCAATCATGCCCTCTCGCCTGTATCCCAATCATGCGCTCTCACCTGTATCCCAATCATGCCCTCTCGCCTGTATCCCAATCATGCCCTCTCGCCTGTATCCCAATCATGCGCTCTCGCCTGTATCCCAATCATGGCCTCTAGCCTGTATCCCAATCATGCCCTCTCGCCTCTATCCTACTCTTGTCCTCTCGCTTGTATCCCAATCATGCACTCTCGCCTGTATCCCAATCCTGCACTCTCGCATGTGTCCCAATCTTTCCCTCTCGCCAACATCCCAATCATTCCCGCTTACCTGTATCCCAATCATGCCCTCTCGCCTGTATCCGAATCATGCCCTCTCGCCTGTATCCCAATCATGCCCTCTCGCCTGTATCCCAATCATGCCCTCTCACCTGTATCCCAATCATGCCCTCTCGCCTGTATCCTAATCATGCCCTCTCGTTTGTATCCCAATCATGCCCTCTTGCCTGTATCCCAATCATGCCCTCTTGCCTGCATCCCAATCATGCCCTCTCGCCTGTATCCCAGTCATGCCCTCCCGCCTGTATCCCAATCATGCCCTCTCGCCTGTATCCCAATCATGCCCTCTCACCTGTATCCCAATCATGCCCTCTCGCCTGTATCCCAATCATGCGCTCTCACCTGTATCCCAATCATGCCCTCTCGCCTGTATCCCAATCATGCCCTCTCGCCTGTATCCCAATCATGCGCTCTCGCCTGTATCCCAATCATGGCCTCTAGCCTGTATCCCAATCATGCCCTCTCGCCTCTATCCTACTCTTGTCCTCTCGCTTGTATCCCAATCATGCACTCTCGCCTGTATCCCAATCCTGCACTCTCGCATGTGTCCCAATCTTTCCCTCTCGCCAACATCCCAATCATGCCCGCTTACCTGTATCCCAATCATGCATTCTCGCGTGTATCCCAATCATGCCCTCTCGCCTGTATCCCAATCATGCCCTCTCACTTGTATCCCAATCATGCCCTCTCGCCTGTATCCCAATCATGCCCTCTTGCCTGTATCCCAATCATGCCCTCTCGCTTGTATCCCAATCATGCCCTCTCGCCTATATCCCAATCATGCCCTCTTGCCTGTATCCCAATCATGCCCTCTCGTTTGTATCCAATCATGCCCTCTTGCCTGCATCCCAATCATGCCCTCTCGTTTGTATCCCAGTCATGCCCTCCCGCCTGTATCCCAATCATGTCCTCTCGCCTGTATCCCAATCATGACCTCTCGCCTGTATCCCAATCATGCCCTCTCGCTTGTATCCCAATCATGCGCTCTCGCCTGCATCCTAATCATGCCCTCTCGCCTGTATCCCAATCATGCCCTCTCGCCTGTATCCCAATCATGCCCTCTCACTTGTATCCCAATCATGCCCTCTCGCCTGTATCCCAGTCATGCCCTCTTGCCTGTATCCCAATCATGCCCTCTCGCTTGTATCCCAATCATGCCCTCTCGCCTATATCCCAATCATGCCCTCTTGCCTGTATCCCAATCATGCCCTCTCGTTTGTATCCAATCATGCCCTCTTGCCTGCATCCCAATCATGCCCTCTCGCCTGTATCCCAGTCATGCCCTCCCGCCTGTATCCCAATCATGTCCTCTCGCCTGTATCCCAATCATGTCCTCTCGCCTGTATCCCAATCATGACCTCTCGCCTGTATCCCAATCATGCCCTCTCGCTTGTATCCCAATCATGCGCTCTCGCCTGCATCCGAATCATGCCCTCTCGCCTGTATCCCAATCATGCCCTCTCGCCTGTATCCCAATCATGCCCTCGCGTTTGTATCCCAATCATGCTCTTTTGCCTGTATCCCAATCTTGCCCTCTTGTCTGTATCCCAATCGTGCCCTCTCTCCTGTATCCCAATCATACCCTCTCGTCTGTATCCCAATCATGCCCTCTCGCCTGTATCCCAATCATGCCCTCTCGCCTGTATCCCAATCATGCGCTCTTGCCTGCATCCCAATCATGCCCTCTCGCCTGTATCCCAACCATGCCCTCTCGCCTGTATCCCAATCATGCCCTCTTGCCTGTATCCCAATCATGCCCTCTTGCCTGTATCCTAATCATGCCCTCTCGCCTGTATCCCAATCATGCCCTCTCACTTGTATCCCAATCATGCCCTCTCGCCTGTATCCCAATCATGCCCTCTCGCCTGGATCCCAATCATGCCCTCTCGCCTGTATCCCAATCATGCCCTCTCGCCTGTATCTCCCTGATGCCCTCTCGCCTGTATCCCAATCATGCCCTCTCGCCTGTATCCAAATCATGCGCTCTCGCCTGTATCCCAATCATGCCCTCTCGCCTGTATCCCAATCATGCCCTCTCGCCTGTATCCCTATCATGCGCTCTCTCCTGTATCCCAATCATGCCCTCTAGCCTGTAACCTAATCATGCCCTCTAGCCTGTATCCCAATCATGCCCTCTCACCTCTATCCTTATCTTTTCCTCTCGCTTGTATCCCAATCATGCACTTGCGCCTGTATCCCAATCCTGCACTCTCGCATGTGTCCCAATCTTTCCCTCTCGCCAACATCCCAATCATGCCCCTTGACCTCTATCCCAATCATGCACTCTCGCCGGTATCCCAATCATGCCCTCTCGCCTGTATCCCAATCATGCCCTCTCGCCTATATCCCAATCATGCCCTCTCGCCTGTATCCCAATCATGCCCTCTTGCCTGTATCCCAATGATGCCCTCTCGTTTGTATCCCATCATGCCCTCTTGCCTGTATCCCAATCATGCCCTCTCGCCTGTATCCCAATCATGCCCTCTCGCCTGTATCCCAATCATGCCCTATCTCATGTATCCCTATCATGCCCTCTCGCCTGTATCCCAATCATGCCCTCTCGCCTGTATCCCAGTCATGCCCACTCGCCTGTATCCCAATCATGCCCTCTCGCCTGTATCCCAATCATGCCCTCTTGCCTGTATCCCAATCATGCCCTCTCGTTTGTATCCCAATCATGCTCTTTTGCCTGTATCCCAATCTTGCCCTCTTGTCTGTATCCCAATCGTGCCCTCTCTCCTGTATCCCAATCATGCCTCTCGCCTGTATCCCAATCATGCCCTCTCGTCTGTATCCCAATCATGCCCTCTCGCCTGTATCCCAATCATGCCCTCTCGCCTGTATCCCAATCCTGCATTCTTGCCTGCATCCCAATCATGCCCTCTCGCCTGTATCCCAATCATGCCCTCTCGCCTGTATCCCAATCATGCCCTCTCGCCTGTATCCCAATCATGCCCTCTCGCCTGTATCCCAATCATGCCCTCTCGCCTGTATCCCTATCATGCGCTCTCTCCTGTATCCCAATCATGCCCTCTAGCCTGTATCCTAATCATGCCCTCTAGCCTGTATCACAATCATGCCCTCTCACCTCTATCCTAATCTTTTCCTCTCGCTTGTATCCCAACCATGCACTTGCGCCTGTATCCCAATCCTGCACTCTCGCATGTGTCCCAATCTTTCCCTCTCGCCAACATCCCAATCATGCCCCCTGACCTCTATCCCAATCATGCACTCTCGCCGGTATCCCAATCATGCCCTCTCGCCTGTATCCCAATCATGCCCTCTCGCCTATATCCCAATCATGCCCTCTCGCCTGTATCCCAATCATGCCCTCTCGTTTGTATCCCATCATGCCCTCTTGCCTGTATCCCAATCATGCCCTCTCGCCTGTATCCCAATCATGCCCTCTCGCCTGTATCCCAATCATGCCCTATCTCATGTATCCCAATCATGCCCTCTCGCCTGTATCCCAATCATGCCCTCTCGCCTGTATCCCAATCATGCCCTCTCGCCTGTATCCCAGTCATGCCCACTCGCCTGTATCCCAATCATGCCCTCTCGCCTGTATCCCAATCATGCCCTCTAGCCTGTATCCTAATCATGCCCTCTAGCCTGTATCACAATCATGCCCTCTCACCTCTATCCTAATCTTTTCCTCTCGCTTGTATCCCAATCATGCACTTGCGCCTGTATCCCAATCCTGCACTCTCGCATGTGTCCCAATCTTTCCCTCTCGCCAACATCCCAATCATGCCCCCTGACCTCTATCCCAATCATGCACTCTCGCCGGTATCCCAATCATGCCCTCTCGCCTGTATCCCAATCATGCCCTCTCGCCTATATCCCAATCATGCCCTCTCGCCTGTATCCCAATCATGCCCTCTCGTTTGTATCCCATCATGCCCTCTTGCCTGTATCCCAATCATGCCCTCTCGCCTGTATCCCAATCATGCCCTCTCGCCTGTATCCCAATCATGCCCTATCTCATGTATCCCAATCATGCCCTCTCGCCTGTATCCCAATCATGCCCTCTCGCCTGTATCCCAATCATGCCCTCTCGCCTGTATCCCAGTCATGGCCACTCGCCTGTATCCCAATCATGCCCTCTCGCCTGTATCCCAATCATGCCCTCTTGCCTGTATCCCAATCATGCCCTCTCGTTTGTATCCCATCATGCCCTCTTGCCTGTATCCCAATCATGCCCTCTCGCCTGTATCCCAATCATGCCCTCTCGCCTGTATCCCAATCATGCCCTATCTCATGTATCCCAATCATGCCCTCTCGCCTGTATCCCAATCATGCCCTCTCGCCTGTATCCCAATCATGCCCTCTCGCCTGTATCCCAGTCATGCCCACTCGCCTGTATCCCAATCATGCCCTCTCGCCTGTATCCCAATCATGCCCTCTAGCCTGTATCCTAATCATGCCCTCTAGCCTGTATCACAATCATGCCCTCTCACCTCTATCCTAATCTTTTCCTCTCGCTTGTATCCCAATCATGCACTTGCGCCTGTATCCCAATCCTGCACTCTCGCATGTGTCCCAATCTTTCCCTCTCGCCAACATCCCAATCATGCCCCCTGACCTCTATCCCAATCATGCACTCTCGCCGGTATCCCAATCATGCCCTCTCGCCTGTATCCCAATCATGCCCTCTCGCCTATATCCCAATCATGCCCTCTCGCCTGTATCCCAATCATGCCCTCTCGTTTGTATCCCATCATGCCCTCTTGCCTGTATCCCAATCATGCCCTCTCGCCTGTATCCCAATCATGCCCTCTCGCCTGTATCCCAATCATGCCCTATCTCATGTATCCCAATCATGCCCTCTCGCCTGTATCCCAATCATGCCCTCTCGCCTGTATCCCAATCATGCCCTCTCGCCTGTATCCCAGTCATGGCCACTCGCCTGTGTCCCAATCATGCCCTCTCGCCTGTATCCCAATCATGCCCTCTTGCCTGTATCCCAATCATGCCCTCTCGTTTGTATCCCATCATGCCCTCTTGCCTGTATCCCAATCATGCCCTCTCGCCTGTATCCCAATCATGCCCTCTCGCCTGTATCCCAATCATGCCCTATCTCATGTATCCCAATCATGCCCTCTCGCCTGTATCCCAATCATGCCCTCTCGCCTGTATCCCAATCATGCCCTCTCGCCTGTATCCCAGTCATGCCCACTCGCCTGTATCCCAATCATGCCCTCTCGCCTGTATCCCAATCATGCCCTCTCGCCTGTATCCCAATCATGCACTCTCGCCTGTATCCCAATCATCCCCTTAAATCAGTATCCCAATCATGCCCTCTCGCCTGTATCCCAATCATGCCCTCTCGCCTGTATCCCAATCATGCCCTCTTGCCTGTATTCCAATCATGCACTCTCGCCTGTATCCCAATCATGTTCTCTTGCCTGCATCTTAATCATGCCCTCTCGCATGTATCCCAATCATCCCCTCCTGTCTGTATCCCAATCATGCCCTCTTGCTTGTATCCCAATCATGCCCTCTCGCCTGTATCTAGACATGGTCAAAACGCGATGCGATGCGATATGTTAAAAACAAAACCGAAATGGCATATCGCGTTTTAGGGGGCGATATTAAAAAATATCGCCTAAAAAAAGCGATGCATCGCGCGCTGCGATATAATATCGCATCGCATTTAGGGGCCACTGTTTTCCCGCCCTAAAAATACATGTTCCCACACCACAGGGCACGACAATGGTGGCTCTCCTAGGTTCGCGCGGAATTAGGTAAGTGAATTGACGGGAGATGGTAATATCGTGGTCCCTCTCTCATGTGGAGCGTGTTTGAGGGGACGGGGTTGGATTCTGTAGATGCAGGGGATTTTAGTGCGGTTGAAGTGGTGGAAATTGGTTGGAGTCCAACCAATTGACTTTGGGGGTCGAGATTTCAGTCCAACCCCCTAAATCCCTTCAACTGCACACCACCACATCCCATCCAGAAAACCCACTCGCCCACCACACACCACCAACCATAACAAATTTGAACCCCCACCAAAATCCCCTCCCTCAACCACACTGCACTCCTTCCCATTTAGAATTTCCAACCCTTCCTCTAATGTTCTCCAAGCTCTGCTCCTCACACAAACTCCTCCCCCCAAACCGCCGCTTGCCATTTCCGCGCATCATTCAGCATCACCCCAAGAGAAACCTAGACTAGCTCACCTTCTATTTTTGCTAAGTTCAGGGCCCTCGCCCATGTAGGTACGGCTTCGCGCAACTGATGCAGTCTCTGTCAAACTGGCTTCATGCTTCTCAGCTATGCCACATTCATGTGAGTCCCTTCGTTGGGCTGAGCTGCGGCGAGTCGACCGACCGCACTCGAGGGAAACACTTGATTATGTTTGTAACCTTTCTGCGTGATGGGCATGTTGTGTCTGAGTTCAACGCCTTGCTAACAGTGGAACAGTGCGATGCAGCATCTATTCATGCCCTCATTCAGGAACATCTAGCCAAGATTGGCGTGCACCCCGACAAGATTGCCGGCATCAGCACTGATGGCACTGCTGTCATGATGGGCTCCAACACCGGCCTTGTCACTCGTGTGCGTGCCATGTCACCGTGGCTAGTGTCCTGCCACTGCATAGCTCACAGGTGAGCCACGCTGCATATTTTTGCCTCTCACTTCCCGTCACTCGACCATGACTTCCCACGACTCTGGTACGTGTACTCGCTGTGCCTCTCTAGCTAACGTTTGATCACAACGCTGATGCTTCTGCTGTTTCTGCTGTGTATGCAGGGAGGCCCTCGGTGCGAAGGATGCTGCAACTGCCGTTCCAGAGCTAGCAGTGGTCGACAAGCTCATCCGGACCGTTGCTGAGTTGCTGGGTCGCTCTGGAAACTGGCACGCGCGCTTAAAAAATCTCCAAGACGTCTTCACCCAGGCGAATCTCGATATGCAGGGTATGTTCAACATACGCTGGCCATCTCGAGGTGAGGCGATCGCCCGCCTCGTCGACGTGCTACCAGCTGTGGTCATTCTACTTCTTGAGTATGACCAGGAGATGTACAACATCGTAAAGAGCTACAAGTTTCACCTTTTCCTCTACTTCCTGACTGACATGCTTGGCTTACTGAACAGCCTCAACAAAAAATTCCAAGCCCGCCAGGTTGGTTCCTTGCATGGTCCTATTCTGTTTGTCTAATCGTGTGTCTCCCTGAGCTATCTCCCCAAGCCCTCTCCTACCACAGGTCGAGTTGACAGTCGTCCAAGGCCTTATCAAGAGGAACGTTGTCTACATCAAGCAGCGGTACGTCGAGTGCGGCAGCAACTTCGGGGGCGGCAACTTGCCGCTCCTCACTGCATTCATTGAAGCGCACCGCACCAGCCGCGCCGTCACCATTGAGGGATGCAAGTCCGACGGCACATCAATCGTGCACAAGTTTGACATGCACGACGAGCGCCCTGGCGAGGACCACGACGAGTGTAGCAGCATCTGCATGATATTCTCCAAGGTGACTGAGCAGAACATCGTTGAGCAGCTGGGAGACCTGGAGAAGCTCAACGGGTGCATACTCTTCACCCTGGAAGCATGGCCGCCAGGGAGGAAGGAGCGGAACAGCCAGTGCATGGACTGGCTGTAGAGCTTGTTTGACCTCTTCCGCGCAGCCGGGCGTCGGGAGGTTCTGCCAGGTAAGCTGTTGCTAACCGAGCATGAACCCATCTGTAACCATGCATCTTGCCTGCGTGTCATCCTTATCCCCATACTAACGGCCTGCATGTACACCACTCATTCTCCTCCCCTTGCGCCCTCCGATTCTGTGCAGGTGTTAACAAGAGGGCGGCAACCAGGGAGCTGCAGACCCTCATCTCCCTGCTCAAAGACGCTCCCGTGGGGGAGCGGAAGTTCTACAAGGGGCTGGCGGCGATGCTGAAGTCGGATGACTGGACAAAGGCCTTCCCAAACCTGGGCCGCCTATGGGTTGCGGTTGCAGTGCTGCCACTGTCTATGGTGGAGTGTGAGCACGGCTTCAGTCGGCAGAACATTATCAAGAGCTAGTGCCGAGGCAGCCTAGGCAACGCCACACTCGAAAACCTCATGAGCATGGCATTGCTCGACTACAAGCCTGATTGGGAGGAGGTGGTGAAGGTGTTTCGAGGGAAGAAGCGGAAGCAGTTCTCCACCCGCATCCGCCCCCGAGGTCGGGTGAAGAGCTTGAAGGGGAAAGAAAAGGTGGTGGAGGGGCGAGGGGAGGATTTGGATGAGGGGCCAGAGGAGGAGGTGGAAGAGGAGCTGGAGGAGGGGAACGAAGAGGAAGACAAGGAGGGGAGAGGAGGGGGGGTTGGCGGAGGAGAGGACGATGAGGATTTCTGGCATGCAGCAGAGGGTGAGGAGTGCAGCAGCGGCGGAAGTGAGTCGGACAAAGACGAGGAATAGCAGGTGGACGAGCAGCAGCAGCAGCAGCAGCGTCAGCTGCAACACCAACAGCGGCAGCAGCAGCGGCAGCAGCAGCAGCAGCACATGGAGCAGTTGGGTGCAACAGGAAGAGCAGTAAGAGCTCTAGCAGCAAGAGTGGCAGCGTCAGTAGTAGCATGCGGCAGTAAGTCAACACAAAAGGCAGCAGCAGCAGCACCATAGGCTGTGCTTTTCTGGAACTGTTATACTACCAAGTGTGTACCATGAAAACAATAAAACAAACTAGTCAAAGTTCAGTCTAACACATTGTGCTAGGTCAGAATCAAACCCACCCAAAAAAAATGCAGTTCAACACTAACATGTCAGGCCTATAATCTTTTTGTCCTGAACTTTCAGCCTTCAAAAAAATTTACCCTGACAAAATATGCAACTTCCAAAACCAGACCCTGAAAATCGGGGGTTCCTGCTGGGGCCACCTTGAGCCAACAGCCCCTCAAAATCCAATCTGAAGCCCTGTTTCAGGGTGCCTTTGTGTACCGACCCTGAAAAATCAGCGTGGCCTAAAACGAATCTGAGGGCCTGCTTTCATATGTTCCCTTGGTTAGCAGCTGGATGACAGGTGTTGGACTGAGAAAAAGCCTTAGAACCTTTTCAGAGACTATGTCCCACTTGTACAAGATGCTTGAGTAGTGCAGCGGAAGTGTTGAGTAGTTGAACCCTTGCACTAGTATGTGAGAGCAAGTGATTGATTAAAAGAAACAAGCATACAGCAATATATAGAAAATAAGAAATGGAGCAGTTGTAGAATACAGTTGAAGGAACAGTTATCGAGTCGTACAGCGACTCGATTGTCGGTTCGGTTACCATCCTTGCAGTCGCAACGGTCAATCGCAACCTCCAGTTGCGACCCTTCGAGTCCCTTTGCCCTTTCGAATTCTTTCGTCCAACCTCCTCGTCTAACCTCCGTTGACTCGCGTACCCGGTACGACTTTCCTCGAGTGTAGTGTTACACTTCAGAAACGCTTAAGTCTTCGAGGTATTTCCAACACTCCCCTTCGTTTCTGGAGTGCTGACGTGTCCGGATTCAGTGACATTTGCCTGACCGGTCAGCAGCATGCAGTAATCAAACTTTGCCTTCGCCAGTTTCTTCGTCAGGTAATCTGCAGCCATTTCTGTCGTGGGGCAGTAACTGAGTTGAAGTCTCCCCTTTGCGATCTCATCCTTGACAAAGAAATACCGCAGGGCGATGTGCTTGGTTCAATTGGCGAACCCGTTGTTGTTCGCGATTTTGATCGCGGATTGATTGTCGCAGAATAACGAGAAGGCGGGCATGGTCGCAATTTTCGCTTCCTCGAGCAGCTCCCGCAGGTAAAGTCCCTCTTTGGTTGCAGTGCAGCGAGCGATGTATTCCGCTTCAGCCGAAGATAGTGCGATTAGTTCTTGCTTGCTCGACTGCCAGGAAATAGTCCCGATAGGCTCTAGTCGGTAGATGTAGCCCGTTCTGGAGCGTCGATTCCCTTTGTCTCCCACGTGGTCAACGTCGACGTAGCCGAGTAGTTGTATGGACGACGGTGTTGCTTTGCTGTAGGTGAGTCCGATCGTCGGCGTAGAGACGAAATAGATTAGTGCCCGATTCAGCTCCTCGAGGTGCTCTTGCTCCGGCTGTTTCAGGTGTGTCGCCAGTTGACTAGCGCTGTAGGACAAGTCCGGTCGGCAGGTTACGGCTGCAAACAGGAGACAGCCGAGCTTCTGTTGGTATTCCTGGATCTGCTTAGTGGGGAGCTTCGCGGAGGTGTCGCTGTTGTCATTCCCGTAGCGATAGGGAGTTGCGGCTGCGATCGGCGTTAGTCCGAATTTCTTCGCGACGACGTCTGCGTACTTTCCGGCGTGTAGTTAGAACGTCGAATCCTCTTCGACGACATTCAGCCCTAGATACTGGGTGACGGTGTCTAACAACGTGAGTGTTAAGTCACTCTTCAGCTCCCTTTCAAACCAGGTGACGACGTTGGTAGTGGAGCCGACGTAGAGCAGGTCATCGACGTAGACGATGAGTAGGACGAAGTCGCCCCCCTTCTGCAGTCGGTACCTCCCTTGGTCGTGCGGCAGCTGTAGGAGGCCGATCCTGACGAGGCGGCCGTGAAGGTGCTGCTGCCAGAGCCGCGGGGCTTGTTTGATTCCGTAGAGGGATTTTATCAGCTGGCACACTTTTGTGGGATCATCGATGAAACCGGGGGGCTGCTCAACGAAGATCTCAGCGTCCGCAGGTGCGTACAAGAAGGCATTGGCGACGTCGATCTGCCGAAGTGGTAAATGCGCAGGGAGGTATGTCGGGAGACTGGGGCGAATGTCTCCGTGTAGTCAGTTCCGTATCGCTGATCGAATCCACATACGACCCAGCGAGCCTTTAAGCGGTCGATGGAGCCATCCGCGTTAGTCTTGATTCGGTACACCCACTTCCCCGAGAGCACATTCCGCCCGTTGGTCTTTGTTGCAGGTATGTGTTTCGGTCTTGCAGGGCCTTCAGTTCCTTTTCCATTGCTTCCTTCCATTTCGCCTTGTGTTCCCCCCCCAGAGCCTGCGATAGAGTCGTTGGCTCGCGCGGTGACGGCGGCGGCGGGCTCTGGACGGCGACCCATAGTCCAAGTATCTGCAGGCCCGTGGGTGTGTGTCGAGGGGAATTTTCATTCCCGGGATAAGCTGCTTCGTCGCCATCTTCAGGATCAGGTAAGAAATTCGGTCCGATGCATTCAGAGACATTTGTGTCAACCATTTGAGGTGTAGTGTAGCCCTGGTCAGCGAAGTGGTAGAAGGTGTCGAGGTTGTTACTATCGAGAGGGTTGTCATCGTCGAGTGGAACGGGCACGGAGCAGTAAGGGAGTGGTCCGGCAGCTTCTGAGGCTTCAGGCACGTCTTCTTCTGCTGCGTCAGCTTTGGCAGCAGGGTCGGCGAAGGACCGATGGCCCTCGAAGCCGTCGGTGGGGTCTGCGGTGTTGGCGACGTTGTCCAGGTAATGCTGCAGCGTCAGTCTCTCGTAGAAAATCACATCACGTGAGGCCACGGTGGTTTTGTCCTGGATGTCGAGAAGTTTCCACGCGTGAAAATGTTTTGTGATGCCGAGGTGTAGTCCCCACCATGCTCGTTGAGAAAATCGTCCTGCTCGGGCTGTGTGGGGTCTGTACTGTACCATGCAGCCAAAGACTCGAAGTAATTTTGTGCTGCCCAGTTTTCCTGTCCACAGCAGGTGCGGTGATGCGCTGTTGGGAAGTGATGACGAGGACAGCAAGTTGTGGAGGTGGACTGCATGCGTCATCGCGTCAGGCCAAAGGGTGTTGGGCAGTCTCATCCCCAGGAGCAGCTTCCGCATCGTCGTCTGCAAGGTGCGGTTCATCCTCTCTGTGACCCCCTGCTGCTGGTGAGCGTAGGGCAGGGACACCAGGCGTTTGATGCCTCTTTCTGCCAAGTAGCTCCTGAACCTTTGTGATTGATACTCCAGTGCCCGGTCTGACTGGAAACTCTTGAGTTGGGAGCCCGACTCTCGTTCAGTGATGGGGAGCCACGTCATGAAAACTTCGAACGCTTGGTTACGAGTCTTAAGATTGTAGTGCCAGACGTATCACGTTGCTGCATCGATGAACGTGATGACGTAGTTGTACTCTGCTTCACTGTCGTCTCGAGGCATGTTTAAAATATCACTGTAAACTTTTTCCATCGGTGCGTATGCAGGTGCGCTTGGATTGTGGTGCCACGAGAAAGGTTGATGGGGAAGATCAGCTTTGGGGCACGTGAAGCATCATGCGCGAGGTCGTCAAAGCTCCTGGCCGCTCGTTGTGAGGAGAGCGTCTTTTTCTAATACTCCGGCTTGTATGGTTTGAAGAATTGTGCTGTTTGCAGGGTGTCCAAGGCGTTGATGCCAGATGTCGTCGGGAGCGCAATGGCCAGGAGAACGCCGGTACAGGTCGGCGTTGGAGAAGAACGCGACGACCGTAGCGGAATTGCGGCAGACTCCACGGGTGATGGGCATAAGCTGATCTGCTTCAGTTGGCGGTCCTCGGATTGCTGGTGATGGCGCACGGCTGGGTCCTGCTGCTGCTACTGCAGGTGATGTCGAGGAAGGGATACTTGTTGGTACTTGTCGTTCTTGTCGAATGACTACTAATGCTCATGTTCTCTCTGTTGTAGGGATGGTGTTGGAGTACCAGAACCCGCCGGGACTAAAATCGGGGTCAAGATCGGGCGGGTGCGTCCAGGTGGCGAATGACACGATGGCGTCACTGTCGGCAGTACCGCGATCAGGGACGAAGTCCAGCACGAACACGTCTGACTTCAGGAGAGCGCGACCGATGAAGAGGCCGCCCTTCCCGTGGTAAAGGCGAAACTCGTTGGTGTCCGACTCACATTCCAGGTGAATTCCTTTCGCCATTAACTGTAGTATGAGAAATTTGTTGAGTTGCAGTATGACGTTTGTCTCCATTGACTGAAGCTGAATGACTCCGTGCCTGTTTGTTTTCAAGTTCTCGTTGTTGGCAACGGTGATGATGACGTCGCGGTTGAGGCGTCGCTCTTGTTGCACGAAGCGCCCCGAGGAACATATGTGTTGACCGCAGCAGCTGTCCAAGAACCAGGTGTTTCGCCCGGTGGGTTCTTTGTTGGCGACTGCAGCATACGTGGGGTTGACCTGAAGTCCTTGTTAGTGCGGCGGCGTCAGTTCTTCTTCGTCTGGAGCGTAAATGGGTGGTGACCCGGGTGTGCAGCTGTCGATTCGTACCATGCAGTTGATGATGTTTGGTGCGCTTTTGTCACAAGATCGAATGACTCGAGGAAAGATTGCACTATTGATTGATACAAGGCGCTCTTATACTTCCAGAGTACATCAGGTAACCAGGTTTATCCTATCCAAGGGAATAGACCCTTCTAGAAAATAGAATCACCCTGCGTATAGCCACGCAAGGCTATTGGCTTTAATATTCAATTCTGGAAGAATCCAGATTTAAAAAAACCCAATCGTGAGGCCTGGAGCCGAAGTCTCGACTCTACTGTAGCTAGTCACGCTAGTCCTTTGCCCTGGGGTGGGGACGCCACGCTGGCGCGCAAACACCTCAAAATTTTATATCGCGCCACATCACTGGCAATTCAAGTGCTTCAGGCAGTGTTCTTGCCTCGGGAAAACATCAGGGCAGCACATTGGGGCACTTTGTACACGGTCAATATCGAAAAATATGGAGTTTTGGACCATCTCAGCTGTACCGGTATACGAGATGCCCCGAAGTCCTGCATAGAAGTTTTCCTCGAGGCAAAAACACGCCCTTAGTCAAGCGTGAAATCCGTTATTAAAAGTCCACGCTAATTCCTAAAAGACCGTTCAGAATTTGCATCAGACTTTAATTTTCGACTAACGCTGAATTATCAGCGTAAAATTTTTAGGTAACGCTGCAATTTTCAGCCTTTCTTCCAATGGCAAGTCTGCAAAATCAGCCTTAATGCAGGAGGCAGGGATGATGAATCAGCGTGTCCCAAAACGAATCTTAGGGCCTGGTTCGGTTGCCATCCTTGCAGTCGCAACGGTCAATCGCAACCTCCGGTTGCGACCCTTTGAGTCCCTTCGCCCTTTCGTATTCTTTCGTCCAACCTCCTCGTGTAACCTCCGTTGACTCGCGTACCCAATACGACTTTCCTCGAGTGTAGTGTTACACTTCAGAAACGCTGAAGTATTTCCAACAACAGGCTTGTTGAACATTTTTTGCCAAGAGCTTCGATGAGAATACGTCAGGATGTTTTTCTGACTCTACACGCTGGACTGGGACAAAGAGAATCCTCCAAGTGTCAGATATGGTACCAGATAACTGACAGCAACAACAGAAGCAATCTGCCAGCCAGCTACAACAACGGCGTATAAGGAGTTACGGAGCGAAGGCAGCCACAATAACAGTGATATTGTACGGGGACTGGGGTGCTGCAGTGGTGTTGAACTTGAAGGTGGCACCTGGAGGGATTATCACAGAGTTGTCGGGTGCGTCCAGAGGAGGGAGAACCTGCAAGGGGGAATTGGAATGGTGGAGTTGGGGAAGGTTGGAGGATGGAGAGGGCAGCGTAAGCCAGGGAGGGAGAGTGAGTGAGAGAGAGAGAGAGAGAGAGAGAGAGAGAGAGAGAGAGAGAGAGAGAGAGAGAGAGAGAGAGAGAGAGAGAGAGAGAGAGAGAGCATGGGTCCTTTCCTCGCTATATAAGGCCCTCTCCCTCTCATTTTCTCTGTTTTTAGTTCAGTTCTCATCTTTCTCCCCTTGGTAACGGCGGAGAGAGGAGAGAGAGAGAGAGCGAGAGAGCATGGGTCCTTTCCTCGCTATATAAGGCCCTCTCCCTCTCATTTTCTCTGTTTTTAGTTCAGTTCTCATCTTTCTCCCCTTGGTAACGGCTCGCGCCGGCGGCCTTCGGCCGCCGTCGCTCGCAGCGCGGCCTCCGGCCGCGCGTTAGGGGACGACAAGCGCGCAAGACAACATCAATTCACTCCAAATCACCACACAAACAAGAACAGAAGCCACGATACCCCCATGCATCCCAACGGCAACATCCTACCGAAGGCCTGAGAGGCGCAACGCATGGACAACCTGATCCGTCAGACGGGAGGCCTGTCGCTGACGGATGCACCGCCACAATGGACTTACTCCCGCCGCGCTACTACCCCAGGAGGTCCTCCACGCCGGTCCCGCCCAGCAGCGTTGCCTGGTACGATGCCAGGACCTGAAGCATGGACGCGGCGCCGCCTACAAACTCTCCAACTGACGCCGAGTCTATGCTCCCCGACACTCGGCGGAGGGCGGCGAGGAGGCGCGGGTCCGTCGCTCTTCCCCAGCCGCGCGCAGGCTGCGCTCGCGTTGCCGCTATTGCAAGCTCAAGCGCAGCCTCGGTGCAGTTCTGGAGTGGGGGGTACAGACCAGTTCACGGACTCTCTGAGCCCAGTGGAGCGGTGCTCGCGACCGCCATCATCCCTGCCAGAATCTCCATCGCCTGCTTCACGTGCCAGAGCCGCTGAAGCGTGGCGGCTAGGATCCCCTCACCCCCCACCGAGCGACCTGGTCCAGGAGGCCCCCACAGAGCACTCCGCGGCCCGCCGTCACGCTGATATGGGGACCCCTCCCCGGACGACTCCGCCCCCCCCGTCTCCGCTGCTTCTGCCCCCACCTCGACTCCACGAGGGGACGCGACCCGCTGCCGTGGCGGGACGAAGGGCCCGGTCACCCCGCCTCGGAAATACACGTACGGCTGTGCGCCGTGGCCCCCGGGGGACGGCCCCGCCCATTGCGTGCCAGGCGCCGGCAACGGAGGTGGCTGCCACTCGGGCAGTGAATCACCTGCGGATACAACGGACTCACGCGGAGGTGGAGACGGTATCGGGCCGGGGACCGGGGGGAGAGCCGGAGCCAACGGGTACGGCGGCGAGGGATGCCACTGGGGCGGGTCAACCAGGGGCGGAGGAGGGTGCGCAGGGTGGCGCTGGAACAATGGAGGATTCGGCGGAGGAGGCTGCTGGAGAGACGGTCGAGGAGGCTGCAGGAGCGGTGGGGGAGCCCCCAGGGGAGGCAGATGCTGTGGCAGGAACCCAGGAACAGGCGTCTGCGGGGCCTGCTGCGGCGGAGGACACAGCCGCATCGATGATGGATGGAGCGGTGGGGAGGGTTCCGGCGGGGGACGGAGTGGCTGGTACGCCTGGACGAGCGGCGGGGACGCGTGGTCCCCCAATGCCCCGGGCAGCTGGCTCCGCACCTCGGCCCTCTCCAGGATACCCTCAAGGGCCGCCGCAGTGCGCGCCAAGCGCCTCTCCAGCGCATTTCGACGGCCCCCACTCCGCCATCCGCGGCGGGGACCCTCCTGATGCGGTAGCGCCGCGGGATCTGGGGGGCGACACGGAGCCTCCCCGGGGGGCCCCGAGGCAAGAGGGGTGCGCCCGCCCCTCCCCCGCGGCAACGACCGCGAGCGTGGTGGCGACGTCGCATGCTGACGCAACGCCGACGCGGCGTGGGGCACCAGCCGCAGGACACCGGAGCCCGTCGCCGCAGCCCCGCGATCACCTTCACCCGCATGCCCAGGCTGGCCGGGGGAGGGAGGTGCGCTCGCCGTCGGGACAGGGTGGCCGCGTGCCCACCGCGCACTCGACCAGGGGGGAGAGCTCGAACGACCTCGGCGGGGGGCGTCCCCAGCCGTACTCTCCAGGTCCAGAGACCGCTCGCGGTGAGCACGTCCAACGGGGGAGCGGCCGGCGCGTTCACGCGCCGACTCCATCGCCGTCACTCGCGACAGCGAACGGTCGTCGACCTCCGACACCCCGTTCGGCGGGGAGACGGGGCGCGGGCCGCGGGCGAGGGCGAGGACGCAGTCGGTTGGTGGGGCTGCGAGCAGGGGGAGGACCGTTGAACGGTTTCCAAGTGGCAGCGGACCGGGCTTTAAGAGCCCAGGAGAGAGGAATAACAACTGCGGAGGAGGAACGATACGACGCCACCTATATAGCGGAAGGAAGGGAGGCGGGGAGCACCGATGAGTCTAGTGACGAGGACGGAGAGGAGGAACATCAGCAGGGTGGAGCAGGAAGTGCGGGACATAACCGTAGATCTAGGAGAAGACACAACAGCGGGGCACAGAATCAGCGTGCAAACTCCCCCCAGGCCAACCAATCGCGACGTCAATATTCGCCAGAGGAGCTTGCCTCAAACGGGCTTCTCTTCGCTGGCATCGACAACTGGGATACAACACTGCTGAGCGACAGTCGCCAACCCCCCCTTTCCAGGCGACTGCCCCGCAAAATTCGCCCGCTATTCGCGACGGCGCTCCTGACACCTCTACTGCACATCGCGAAAAGCCCAACCAGTCTGGCGGGCTGGGTTCTGTTACTGTACACACCACGACTTACACTTCGCCTCAACTCGCAGCGACATCCGGATTGGGGGGCGATTGAAGCACGCCTGCAACAATTCCTCGCAGGCGAATGGGACGCAGTGTACCTGGCTGCAGTCGACGCAATACACGATCCGGTCCCGGCACATCACCGTCCGGATGCCCTCGGCAAAATATCTCGTGCTGAGGGACTAGTCCGCCGGGGTAGTTTGCGACGGGCGCTGCTCGCCCTGGAGTCCACCCCAGTCAGCGAGTCAACCCCAGCGGTCTTACATGCGTTGAAGTCAAAGCACCCGCCACCACTGACCCAGGACATTACGTGGCCCCGCGTCGACGACACGGAGCTGCCCCCATCCATCACCATCGCTGAGTTCACAAAATTACTCAGCCGATGCGAGAATGGGGTTGGGGCAGGCCCCTCGGGAATGTGTTTCGAGCACATCCGGGACACTGCACTAGCTAACGGCGCAGTCCTCACCAAACTTCACGAGCTGGTCCTGGGCTTGCTCAAGGGAGAGCCACGGGCGGCGGCGGTTGCGCCCCTTACAGCTAGCCGTCTCCTCGCCCTCACCAAGCCGGATGGCGGCACTCGGCCGATCGCAGTGGGAGAATGTCTCCTCCGCATCGCGGGCAAGGCGTGCCTCACATCAACAGCGGACAGGGCCCAAGCCACTTTTCTCCCCCTGCAATTTGGCGTGGCAGTACGCGGAGGCGGTGAGGCGATAATCCACGCCACCTGCGCCTTCGCCACGGAGTGCCCGTCCGCACTCCTCATCCAAATCGACATGACCAACGCTTTCAACAGCGTCGATCGCGGGGCGATCGTAACCGGCCTCTACAACTCACCACTGCGGCACCTCCTCCCCTTCGTCGAGCTCTCTTACGGAGCTCCCTCGCTACTCTACCTCGACGCAGGCTTCAACGCTCCCCCACTCCAGAGCGAACGAGGCGTGAGGCAGGGGGACCCTATGGGACCCCTCCTATTTGCAGCCGCCATGCATCCCGCCCTCAAAGCCACATCCATCGCCCACCCCGACGTCCTGTGTCTGGCCTATGCTGATGACGTCACGTTGATGGGCGAGCCGTCAGCATGCGCCGCCGCCTTTGCCCACTTCACCGCGGCCCTGGGCCCGCTCGGTCTCACCCACAACCCCGCCAAATGCGGAGCATGGACGCCCACCCCAGCCGCCACCGACCACATCCCCCCCGGCATTCCCTTTTGCCCCGAGGGGCTACGAGTGCTGGGCAGCCACGTTGGGCCCACGGAGGGCGCCAGCCGCTTCCTCCGCGAGCACTTGGCCGACATGGCTAGCCCTCTTGCCACGCTGGCCACCATGGACCCACAGACGACATCCCTCCTACTTACCCGCTGCGTCTCGAGGCGGGTGGCATACCTCACCCGCACGACGCCACTGAACCTCCTGCCCCGAGAAGAGTGGTCCGCTTGGGGGCAGGAGTTGTTCCACACGCTTCTCCGAGCCTGCAACCTCTAGCTACCACGCGGCGAGGCGGAGCAGGCGCGGACATGGGCCCAAGCCTCCCTCCCTCCCTCCCTGGGAGGCCTCGGGTTAGCGGACCCCACGGTGGAGGGGCCCCACTCCTTCCTCACAAGCGTAGCCCGGGCGCAGGCCCTCCTGGCTTCCCTGCCGTCCGCCCAATCAGGCCCCCTGGCACTGGTCGCACAGTCCCTCGCACCCCCGTTCTCCAGCCCTACCCCCCTCCATACCTGGTTGGCGGAATGCGAGGCGACGCTCCCGACACCGGCCCTGGACCTGCTACAGTCCGAGCGGCTGGAGCCATCAGACGCTCCCCTCCAGCACCTCCTGGCCCTAGAAGTCCATGGCTACAGATTTGCCGAACAGCTGGCTGCCACGCGACAGATGGAGCTGAACCCGCTAAGCGGGCATACCCAGCGGATGCTCTCGCTCACTGGATATGGGGCAGGGGATTGGCTCCATGCCATCCCCATCCTCCCCTCACTGCGGATGGCCCCTCCCCACTTTGCCATAGCACTGGCCTTCCGGCTAGGGCTGCCCTTCCCCGCGCCCAAGATCTGCAATTGCCTCAAGCGGGTGAAGATCCCGGATCCACGTCTCCCTAACCACTTGTTCCGCTGCGGCACCGGCCATGGCCGAACCGACACCCACAACGCCCTTCGGGACGAGTGCATCCGGATGGCCCGGGATGCGCAACTCATCGTCACGAAGGAGACGGCCATGTACAACCCAGTTGACGGCAAGACGGCTGACCTCGCCATCCGAGATCGGGACTCCGGCGCGGTGTGGATCTGCGACGTTACGGTCACAGACCCCATCAGCAACCGCGACCCCGATGCACGCAAAGGCAGGGGGTATATGGCCAGGGAGCAAGCGGTCAAGAAGGCGGACCACTACTCCAGCAGGGCCGAGTACGTGGGCCTATTCCCCCTAGCTGTGGAAACATACGGCTGCCCGTGTGACGAAGTGCCTACCTTCCTGAAGCTGCTGGCGCACACAGGAGCACGGCGACTCTTCAACGCGGACCCCAGCTCCTACCAAGCGGGGAAACTGCTCAGCCAGTTCCGCCAGCGTTGGTCTATTACGCTCCAGAGGGGGCAGGCCCTGTCCTACCTTGGAAAGGTGAATGAGGCCTCGCCGGCAGATTGGCCCCCCCTAGGAGACCCGGACGCGGACATGTCCCTCGGGGACTGTTTCGCCATCCTTGAACCCCAAGAGGGGTTCCAGTAGGCATAGGACTCATAAGCCAAGTCTCCCATTGGGACACGTCTCCATAGCTTGCTCCCCTTGCCTAGCCTGTACCCAGGGTTCAGCAATACTAAGGACCGCTTGAGAGAGAGAGAGAGAGAGAGAGAGAGAGAGAGAGAGAGAGATAATCCATGGCGCAAGGGCTTTCGCCACGGAATTCCCGTCCGCCCTCCTGCTCCAGGTCGACCTATCTAACGCCTTCAACAGCGTCGACCGTGGGGCCATCATAACGGGACTCTACAACTCCCCTCTTCGCCCCCTACTCCCCTTCGTGCGCCTATCCTATGGCGCCCCCTCGACCCTCTTCCTGGACGCCGGCTTCAACAGCCCGCCCCTCCTCAGCGCTCGTGGCGTCCGGCAAGGGGATCCCATGGGACCCCTTCTCTTCGCCGCCGCCATGCACCCCGCCCTGCGAGAGACCGCCCAGGCGTACCCCAGCGTCCTCTGCCTGGCGTACGCCGATGACATAACCCTGATGGGAGAGCCAGCGGCATGCACCGCCGCCTTCGCCCATCTCACCCACGCGCTGCTCCCACTAGGCCTGACCCATAATCCGGCTAAGTGCGCGGCATGGTCCACGGCCCCTCCCCCCCCCGACCTCCTCCCCCCGGGAATCCCCTTCTGCGCCTCCGGGTTGCGGATCTTGGGCAGCCATATCGGCCCACCAGACGCAGCGGCCAGTTTCCTGCGCGAACAGCTGGCCGCGATGGCCAAGCCTCTCCCCACCTTAGCGGCCATGGACCCCCAGTCCGCCAGCCTCCTCCTCCACCGCTGCGTCTCTCGTCGAGTCTCCTACCTGACCCGCACGACGCCGCTAAATCTGCTGCCAGCAGAGGAGTGGTCCCAGTGGGGACAACAACTCTACCACACCCTCCTGAGGGCGTGCAACCTCCAGCCCCCGCGCGGGGATCATGAGATGGCGCGCACGTGGCAGCAGGCCTCCCTCCCCCCCTCCCTCGGTGGGCTCGGGCTGACGGACCCCGCAGTCGAGGGGCCACACGCCCTCCTTACCAGCGTAGCCCACGCCCAGCGGCTCCTGGCCTCCCTCGCCAAGGACCCTTCCAGCCCCCTCGGGGCAGTGGCCCGCTCCCTCACACCACCCTACGCCAGCCCCACCCCCCTCCACTCCTGGCTGGCCGAATGCGAAGCGGCGCTGCCAGCTCCCGCCCGGGAGCTACTACGAGCCGAGCTCACGGAACCGTCAGACGCCCCGCTCCAGCACCGCATCGCCCTGGAAGTCCATGCAGCACGGTTCGCCGAGCAGCTGGAGGCGACCAGGACAATGGAGCTCAACCCCCTCAGCGGTCACACTCAGCGGCTCCTCTCCCTCACGGGGTATGGGGCAGGGGACTGGCTCCTAGCAATCCCCCTCTTCCCCTCCCTCAGGCTGGCACCCCCTCACTTCGCCATAGCCCTCGCCTTCCGCCTGGGCCTCCCCTTCCCCACACCACGAGTTTGCAACTGCGCCAAGAAGGTCCAGATCCCGGACCCACGGCTCCCCAACCACCTGTTCCGTTGTGGGACAGGGCACGGGCGCACCGATACCCACAACGCCCTCAGGGATGAATGCATCCGTATGGGCCAGGACGCGCAGCTCATCGTCTCGAAAGAGACGGCCCTCTACAACCCGGTCGATGGCAAAACCGCCGACCTAGCCGTCCGGGACCGGGACTCGGGAGCAGTCTGGATCTGCGACGTCACTGTTACAGACCCAGTCAGCTCCAGGGACCCCCTCGCCCGCAAGGGGCGCGGTTACATGGCAAGGGAGCAGGCGGACAAGAAGACCGACATGTACCGCCACAGGGCAGAATACGTAGGCTTCTTCCCGCTGGCCGTTGAGACATACGGCTGCCCCTGCGCGGAAGTGCCGGCCTTCCTCAAACTCCTGGCACACACGGCCGCCCGGCGCCTTTTCAATGCCGACCCCTCCTCGTACCAGGCGGCGAAACTACTTAGCCAGTTTCGCCAGCGCTGGTCCGTCACCCTCCAAAGAGGACAGGCACTGGCCTACCTGGGGAAAGTGAACGAGGCGTCACCGCTAGAGTGGCCCCCCTTGGGAGGGCCTGAAGCGGGCATGTCCCTCGGGGACTGCTTCGCCGTGATAGAACCTTAGAAAAGGGGGGGGGGGGGGGGGGGTTGGTAGGGCCGGGTGCTGGCCTTTCCCACTGGCGGCTCTAGCCTACGCCTGCTCCACTTGCCTAGCATGTACCCAGGATTCCCAGCAACAAAGGACCATTCGAGAGAGAGAGAGAGAGAGAGAGAGAGACCCGAGGACCGTACGTCCGGCAGAAAAGGACCTGGGGAGAGAGACCCCGGGTCCTTGGGTCCCCGAGAAGGAGGAGCAAGCAGAGGAAGGAGCAAGCAGAGGAAGGAGCATCCAAGGTGGCCTGCCAAAGAGTAAGATAAAACGCTGATCTCCAGGATGCTCACACAATGCCGATGTGCGAGGGACGGCACGGACGGCTCTTACCCTGAACTGATAAGTGAGCTCGTGGCCACTGTTCTCTTTGCCAAATCCAGAGAACTGCACGCGGGGAATGAGGATGAAGGAGCGAAATCTCGCAATAGTAACGATGTTGATGCTCAGGCGAGAGATGGCCCGCTGCTGACACGAGTTGGTCAGAATGACCTGAGAAGGCGTGGGAAGGGGAGAGGAGGGACGAAGGCAAGGGGGGGGGGAGGGGCAGATGGAAGCGGAGGAAGGTATGTGGGGAGGAAACGGAGAGGAAAGCAGAAGCTGAGGAAAGGGGGTGGAAAGAAGAAGCCGAGGAAGAAATGAGGCATCGACTGGATGGGAGTTTGAAGGAGAGAGGAGACTCGTGGGGAGAGCAGGAGAAGGGCGAACAGGTGTGGGGGAGCATTGTGTAGAAAATCTGGATGGGCTAAAGTGGTGGGCTACAGTGGTGGCAAGGTTGGGCTCCAGCTATGCAAGCGAGCTAGTGAAGAAACGAGAATACGAACAAAGAACCAAATTGGAGGTAGTAGGTTAGATGCGAGAAGGGCAGAGGGCGGAGGGCGAGGAAGACCTCATAAGGGTGCTGCAAGACTTGCACCCCTGGGTTGATGGGGATGGTCACTTGGTCATAGAGGAATGTCGTCACCACCACTGCTGTCTTGGCGCTGCTGTCCCTGCACTCTGCATGTCAGTGGGGTGGATCCGAAGAGATGGGGAATTGCGAGGGGGGTATAGGAGAAAGGGGAGTATCGGAGTATGGGTTTGGGCGATGCACATATGGCACAGGGAAGAGAGCAAGTGGGAAGCGAGCACAGAAAAGACGGAAGAACGGAAGTGAAGGCAAGGGGATTGGGGAAGGGGGGAAGGGTAGCAGGGAGAGGGGCTAGGGAGCGTGGGAGGCTATTGGCTTGAAGCTTCTGCTGGCCTACCAGCGGGCAGGGTTGGTGGTTGTGATGGTGCTGCCACAACCGCCGCAGCACCCGCGGCTAGAACCTGATGGAAGGGACGAGAGGACCCGCAGGCGCTGGCCAGTGTTGCCGTCCCCACCTGCAGCTGCATACTGCTCAGTCCCTCACACACGCTGCCGCCGCCACTGCCACCGTCAGCAGCAACTGCTCCCTCATCTGCAGCAGCAGCAGCAGCAGCAGCAGGAGGGGCAGCAGCAACAGTGCTATGGAGGTCCATGCCATCATTAGAGCCCTGCTGCTCGCTTCTCTCCCCTCTCTCCCCTTCACCCGCTCTCACCCTCCGTCTCATCCATTGCTGCCTCACCCCCACCCTCCCTTCTGCCCTCACCGCCTCTTCCCCAGCAATCCTTCCCCGTGGCCCCCCGCTGCTCACCAAGTCCCCCCCTCCGCCCTCTAACCTCCCCCGACCTGGCGCTGCCCCCCCCCAAGTTGCCACCCCCGCCGTCCCCGGCAGCATCAGCACCGCCGCTAGAGCGAGCCAAGGCAGCGCGGGGGAAAGCGCGCGGCGGGAGAGAGCGTGGGCCATGGTCAAGGGGGAGAACGATCGCGCGGAAAGGGGCGGCTGAGTTGGCGGAAGTCTGCGCAGAGCAGTGGGTGGTGGGCGGCAAGGCGGTGCAGAATGAGTGGCGGGACTCGCGGAGTGAGTGAGAGTGGATGATGCGGCCTCTGCGACTCGCATCCCTGGTAAGGCATGGGGTCGCTCCTTGGCCGCCAAGAGTGTCTCGTTCCGCATGGAAGCTCAGTTTTGGATGTTTGGACTTCAAGCTGCAAGGTGGCGAGAGAGGGAGTGAGGGCACACAGGGTAAGGCACGGCTAACGGCTCCCGGGCTGCGTTGCTCGCTATGAGGTGCGGCCAGGGAGTGAATGGCCTGCCAGGGGGTGAATGGCCTGGCAAAGAAGGACCGGGAAGGGAGGGTGTGAGGGGCGGAATCTCACTCTGAGCTGCCACGAAAGCAAAATATTGGTGGGGACGGAGAAGGGCATCGGTGAGCGGTCTGGGCATCGCAAGAACCAGTAGGGGTGCGTGGCCTGCCAAGCAACTACCAGAGGAGAGGGGAGAGACCGATTGTGGAACAGTGGTGCACACTCGGGCTGCTGCCGGGGGGGAGCAAGGGGGGGAGGGCCATGGAAGCGGGGTGACAACGGAATGAACGATGGGCATCAGAAAACCTGATGCTGAAAACGACCTGCGGGAAAAACTAGGACACCCAAATCGCGCCACTCTCTGCCTCCTAATTGCGCCACTCTGTGCCCTAGCCGCACGCCACTCTCTGCCCTAGCCGCACGCCACTCTCTGCCCTAGCCGCACGCCACTATCTGCCCCGGACTCGCTCAAAACCTAGAACAACCTACCAGCATTGTCGAAACAGCCCTTCAAAATCGACCTTGCGGCTAGGTCGAAATGGGCCCTCAAACCCATTGTACAGAATTATCAAAGTCAGGCTTACCTTATGAGAGGTGACGGCACTCTCGCCACCCGCGGAAATGACAAAGATGTGGCGCCGCTGATTCGCCGGATTTGGAGCAGGGCAAACAGTTGGCGTTCGCCACCAATCTCGCAACAAAGCAACTGTTCACAGCTCCTGCAACAACACGCAACTCATCGCGCCAAGCCCGTGATCGTCCTTGTGCCTAGCTCGGACTGCCCTCGCGACTAGGCCTGACCGTCAACGCGCCTATCCCGCACTTCCCGCTTCGCCCACCCCGCTTGGCCCGCCAGCCGTTGAGACAGGAGAACTTGGATGAGACAGAACGGGGGAAACAGGGCGAGGGGGAGCGGAAGAGCGGGGCGTCTGGGGAAAGGGAACGATTGAGGGTGGGTGAGGTGACGATAGGGAGATCACGAATCACAATTTAGGGCTGATTCCTGCTTCGTTTCATCCCGCGGATGACATCCGATTTTGCCGTAAGGTAGGTTCGGCCGAGCCTACCTCAGGGGCAGATTCGGGTGTCATCCACAGACACGACGCAGGATTTTTTTCCTATTCCTACTGCCTCTCGCTTCGGACTGATTGAGCCTGAGAGCAGTTGCCCGATCTCACTCGCGTCTGACTCCAGCCCCAATTCCAGATTGGTTGGAACCCGCACTTCGCGCATTGGGCTGCGTGTCACTCACGAAGAAATTGATTTTCGCATGCTGGAGGGTTTGTAACCACGCCCAAGGCGAGCTGGTGATGCTACTCTTCCCGCCAAACCCTTGGGGTTCGATTCGGCTTCTGCAATCGAACCAAGTTTCAAATCGCGGAATTGAGGACGCAATGAATCATGTGACACGACGTCACGGTTTTACGTCGAGTCACTGCCTAAACCAATCATTGTTGGATTTATGGCTTCCAGAGTTCTAGCAAAACCCCCAGCATTCCAGCTGTTTCTGTATGTCCAGATTAGCATCCTCCTCCCCCCTAATCTTGGTCCATAATTGTGCAGCCTTCCCTCGCGAAAAGGACGCATCGGCTCTACGTCCACGCCTGAACCAAATATGTCGTCGCGAACACCCGGAATTATAGGCGCGGCTTGTCCTAGTTTTGCCATGGCTTGCCGGACTTCGCGCGGACACGGCTTGTCCCACCCGCAGGAGTCATCTCGGGGATCCTTATGTCGGGGATTCCCCACCCTAACCGGGCCCATAATTATAGAACCCACATTCGGCGACGTAACGTTGTACGAGCTGCAGCGATTACAGGAGCGCCGAAGATATACGACGTACGCGGAAATTTTAGGCACCACGGCACGGACGAAGAGTCTCACACACGGTCGGCCGTTGGCGCGCCAGCAGCAGCAGCATTTGAGTCAAATGGCAGCAACTCAAATGGCAGCAGCAGCAGCAGCTGCAGCGACATTTATGTACGCGCTGCTTCATCCTTTTGTCGCTGTCAACTCACTCTCTTAGCATTCGATCCTCGTCGTTGCTAGCTACGTGTCGCTGATTCCGCAACAGCTGATTCCACAACAGCTTATTCCGCGACAGCTGATTCCGCGACAGCTGATTCCGCGTGTTGGTCGATAGCTGGGTGTCTCATCCCTCCACCATCCATCCGCCTGTCGGTCGTGCGCCTGCTTTTTCCACATTTCCGTGACCCTCGTCCTTCCCGCTTGGATTGGCTCTCATCCCGAGACTCACTCGGAAACGCAAAAGAGAGACTGGTCCGCCCACGTGGCATTGCTGCCAACTCATCCTCGTCCAGACGTCAGAGCCTCACGAAGCTGCTTCGTAGCAACCTCATCTTAGAATGGCGACTGCTGTAAGTTTTGAAAATCGAGATTCACCGTTTCCGTCCAGCCCCTTCACGCCTCTGCCCTATTCGCCCATTGTTCGCCTCTGCCCTATTCGCCACCCCGCGTCCCGCCATCGTGTGCCTGGCAGGTGTCCGAGCGATCGCCTCCCCATGGCGGAATGCGAGCGTCGCTTGAGACGCTCAGTGCGCGTCGCCCGAGGCCAGCCCCGGGTCGTCAGGGCGGTCGTTTTCACGCCCTTTCGGCGGCTCAACTTGTGCTTCTCGCGCTGCTGGCAGTGGGAGTCACAGGCCATAAGAAGGCTGCTGCTGCGTACAGCAGTGCGAGTCTGCACGCTGCTGGGAATTCCATGCGGACCTTGGGACGGTGGCACGCGCGGGAAGCAGAAGCGGCTGGAGGGAGAGCATTGATAGACAGGAGGAGCAGCAGCAGCAGTAGCATCATCAGGAGCGGCAGCGGGGAGCAAGGGGAGCAAGGCGAGGAGGTTCCCGAGTGGGCGCGGAGCGAGTTGCGGCGGTGGGAGGCTGCGCAGGCGCGAGAACGCAGGCGGACGGCGGAGAAGGCGGAGATGGGGCGCGCGCTGTGGGCAGAGACGGAGGCGGGGTTTGAGGCGCGGCTGGCGGAGTGGCAGGCGCAGGGCGCGCGGATGCAGAAGGTGGCGGAGAGGAGGAGGGCGAAACGGGCGAGACGGGCTAGGAGCAAGTGGGCCCGGGCGCAGAGGGCACAGGCACGGGCACGGGCTGAGAGCACGAGCAGTGGCGTTTCTGGGGATGGTGGCGACGTTGGCAGTGGTGGCAGTGGTGCTACTGCTGCTGGCGCTGCTGGTGGTGCCGGTGGTGTTGGAGTGGCGAGTCTGACAGAGGACGAGCTGACGGACCTCATGCCCGGAGGCACGCGATCCTGGCAGCACCTCAAAGCCACCACCACTGCCCGCCCTCCCTCCTCCTTTTTCCCCACGGCTCCCACCACCACTCCCTCTTCCTTTTTTCCCACCGCTTCCTCCTCCTCCGTTGCAGACGGGAACGAAACCTCCACTTTCCCTTCCACTCTCTCCTCCTCTCCCTTCTCCACTCCCTCCTCCTCCGCATCAGATGGGAACGACACCTCCACCTCAACCCCCTGGGAGGAGCGTCGCCCCTCGGGAGACTCCCCCTGCAGCCCCAGGAGCACTGGCCCTGTGATCAACGTGACCTCTGTAGCCGACATTCTCTCTCGCATGCAGTATCCGCCCACGCAGACTGTCACCCTCGTGCTGCTCGCCTCTATCTCTCTCAACCGCTCTCTACTCCTCGATTCCAATTTCTCCTGTACTATTTTCCGGGCGGACTCGCTCCCCAGCCAGCACGCCCTGGAGATCACGACGGATACTGAGCCTGTGCTGCAGGTGCGCAACACAAGTAACATTGTCTTTAAACACAAGTAACATTGTTATTATCGCATCGAGTGATTTTCTCGGGTTTAGAGATTATTCACTGATGCTGAGCCTGTGTTGAACTGCAGGTGCACAATGCGAGCAACATAGTGTTTATTGGCATTTCTCTGAGGAGCCCGGTCAGAAACGGGTCTGCTTATTGCGAGTCGCTTCCGGAGTATGGGGCGCTGCTGGGGAACGACCTGCTGTGCCCAGCTCTTCTCATCTACAGGTGCGTTTGGGGTCCCGTTGGGGTTCGTTTGGGGTGCCTTAGGGGTTCGTTTTTGGTGTCCCGTTGGGGATCGGGAACGACTTGCTGTGCCCCACGCTGCTCATCTACAGGTGCGTTTTACAGCCGCTTTGGGTTCAATTGGGGTCCGTTTCGAGTTCGTTTGGGTGCCGTTTTGGGGCTGTTTGAGAGCCAGTTTATGCTAACTGCTGTGGTTGTTTGCTGTTGTCGTTATTAGGTGCACATGAATGGAACTGCTGTGCACCTGCGGCACCTGCTGCTGCTGCTTCTGCTGCTGCTGCTTCTACTGCTGCTGCTGCTGCTACTGCTGTTTGTGACGTCTTGTCTCCGGTGCTTCCTTTCCTGCTGTTCGCAGGTCCTACGGCATCCAGTTCACTCAGGCATCAGTGATCGGCCGCATTGACGTATTTCGCTGCGCGTACACGAAGCTGGACTCACTGTTTGCCACGGCGCCCTGGGACTATGCGTACCACCCCGGGGTGATCCGCATGGGCATGAGCGGCATTGGAGTCAACCTGACCTCGTCTGAGAACATAATTTCCAACAATGACCTATTCGGTGAGTGGAGTGGGGGAGAGAGTGGGTTGCCACGGCACCGTGGTGGGACTATGCGCACTGCGGGGGGGTCATCCGTATGCGCACAGCGGGGGGGTCATCCGTATGCGCACTGCGGGAGGGTCATCCGTATGCGCATGAGCGGTGTGGAAGTGGGCCTCGTGCATCGGATCGGAGGATGTTATTCCTAATAGCGACCTGTTTTCCCATTTTCAAGGCGCTTGATCCCCTCGCTGTTGCCAACACCCCACTCCTTCACATTTTCTCACAGCGGAGGTGCTTGGGAGGGAGCTAATCTACTACTTGTACGCATGCACCATTGGATGCGTCAGAGCCATGGCTGCCCCACCTATTCACGTTGCACTTTAAAAAACCAGCTTCCCAATCTATCACCACTCCTTACCGCCCAGGTGGATGGCAGGCATTGGAGCCATGCGACCCATGGCCGCCCCATCCATTCAGGTTGCCTAAAAAAGCCAACTACCAAGTCCTTTTCCCTTCATCACCATTCCTTACCCCCAGGTGCAGGGGAGCTGATCTACGTGTGCCATGTCAAGGCATCACTGGACTGGAGCCATGGCTGCCCCATCCATTGAAGGCACTTCAAATCCCAACTACCAAATGTGTTCACCATTCTTTGCCACCAGGGGCCTGGGAGCTCATCTATCTCTACCGGGGCACCATCGGAGCCACAGTTCGCAACAACTTTTTGCACGACTACCTCTTTGCGGGCTTCAGGTGCGGTGTGGCTGTGCCTAAAAAGAATAGAGCAGTGCGTTCTCGAAGGGTGATTTTGAGAAGTGAAGCGGTGCGGTGCGGTGTTGAAATGGTGCATCATCTAAACTGTGTTGCTGTTACCGCGCCCTCCCTTTCTTACACAAGCAATCTCTTTCCCGACGCGGTGCAGCTCTGCAGTACTCCGTTCCATCTCCTGGGAGTGTGCCTGGGAACATCATCAAAACAAAATGCACTGTGCAGCACCACACCCTTTGCTGGCTGCTCATTCTCCTGCCAAACAGTGCGCCTGCCAGCCTTTTGTGCTGGGTGCAGGTGCTTGCACAGGCTTACACCCTCTGCTTTGGGTTCAGGTGTCGTAGCAATGGCGTTTCATGTGCTCTGCTGTTGTCCGGGCAGGTGTGGTGCGGACGTGCACTTTGCGTGGGACTGTGCGCTGACCACCGTGGCGCACAACTTTGTGTTTTCCCCTCAGAAGAAGGACCTCACGGGGGACTCAGCTGGCATCTACTTCTGCACGCACTGGTTCAACCCCGGTGAGCCTTCAGCCCCTCTTGATACTTGACACTGGTTCAACCCCGGTGATCTTCAGCTAGCCGTGGTGAGACTTGATGCTGATTTACCTTTGCTGAGGTTCGACCCGTCGTGTCATCTCTATCCCCACTCCTACACATATCCCCCACCCACTGGGACAACCTCACTGGCGACTATGCTGGCATCTATTTCTGCACGCACTGGTTCAACCGGGGTGAGACTAAGTGAGCCCTGGTGAGGTGCAGCCTCTCCTATCGTCCCTTTCCCTCCTCCGCGCATCCCACACCCACTGAGTCAACCCTGGTTCAACTGCAAGGCAGCACTCTCTTGTCCCCCCTCGCCTCATGACCCCCTTTCCACCCCACCCCAGGTAACACGGTGACCTGCAACTACGTGATCGCCAGCGACCACTGCTAGCATCTTGACTAGTGCCTCGACTAACAGTCACCCTGCCTTCTTCTCATGCTCGCTTATCCCCACCCCACCCCAGGAAACACGGTGACCTGCAACTATGTGATTGGCGGCGACCACTGCTACTACCTGGACTACTGCACGTCAGGCGTGGTCATCCAGGGGGGCGTGTGCCTGCAGCTGTGGGACGGGGTGAAGCTCAACAATGGCAAACGCAACCACATCCGCAGCCTGCTCATGGTGGGGCTGGGGCAGAGCCCCGGCTACATCACGTGCTTCACAGTCACTGTCAACCACTGCGGGAAGGACCCCGGGTCGTACTGGGAGGCCATGAGGAAGCTCTACTATGACACGCCCGAGATCAATAAGGTGAGGGTAAATTGCCTCTTGAAAATCCTACAACTTGAGGGTAAATACGGCAATGCGCAAAGAGCGTGATGCCGTATTGGAAAGATATTGTCATAGCGCTTCACCTAACATTGCATTCCCATCCCCCTCTTCTCCCATCGCGCTTTCCCTATCAGCAATCCCCATCTCCTCTCTCCTCTTCGTATCTCCACTGCTCCCCCCACCTCCCATCTCCCGCCTTCTCTCTCCCATCCCTCCCAGCACTGGCTATGGATGAAGCATGTGTGTCGGCAGACACATGAATGTGATCATAACCTAGTTTTGAGATGTCTAGTTTTGAGATGTCTCGTTTTGAGATGTCTCAAACCCACCCCTCCCAGAAATGCCTGTGGATGAAGCGTGTGTGTCGGCAGACACGTGAATCCCTCTCTCGTCTGTCAACTCTCCCCTCAGTCCACCCCCCCCCCCACTCTTCCCAGCAATGCCTGAGGGTGGTGAAGCACATGTGCCGGCAGACGCACGTGCCCCTCCTTCTGTTTTCTCAAATCCCAACTCTTTTCCCCCCCACTTCCCTCCCATTCCCCCCCCCCGCCCCTCTCCACACCCCTTTCAGGAATGGCCCTGGATGAAGCACGTGTGCCGGCAGACGCGCATCGGCGCGTACAGCTGCAACCCGCGCGGGCACAACGCGCTCACGGCGCACGAGACTGGAGCGTGCAGTGGGCTTGCGACAGAAAACGATGTCGAGTACATTGTGGTTGACCCCGACACGAGTCGGGATGCGGAGTACCGCTACTGCGAGCGAAACCCTGGGGCGCATCATTTGAACCGGCAGGTGGTGTACAGGTACAGTGGCGACGAAATGAAATTCGCCGATTATAAAAATGAGGATTTTGCGGTTACGGAGGGGTCTGTGGTGCTGGCAAAACACCCGGAGTTTGTTTCGTGTCCGAGAAAGGATGTGGGGACCAAGCCAGTGTCGATTCATTCTTACTACAAGGATTGGAATATCCCGGAGCCGTCTTTCTTCCAGGCCATACTGGATTTGCCTTACGAGATGGTGTTCAATAATGATCTCTACTAGGCTTTAGGTTCAGATGTTTAGATTTTATGGTATGCCATATCGGCCAAGTGCCCCTCCATTCTTGCCTAGAGAAGCATACCGTTATCACCCGGATATAGGTGTTAGAATACTAGAATAATTGAAACAAGGGAGAACAAGAGAGATTAGTGTTGGGGTTGTACCCACTAAGAGCATACACCTATCTAGTCTATAACTTCTACATCACATCATATGTATAAGTTGACACACCTCCTAGGCTAGATAAGGGGTGGTGCTGAGCAAGAAACAAACAGCTCAGGGCGGCACTACTAGTCCAACCTCAGAGGCGGGGGTCCAAAGATCAGTCAGCAAGAGTACAAACAAGACAAGAGCAAACCAGGGTGGCACTACTAGTCCGACCACTGGAAGAGAAGCCGCAAGGCCAGTCTGGAATGTATAAATATAGAGTAGTACACAATCAGGGTCCTAGCAAGAGTCTATAGGAACTAGACCAAGCTGCAAGCAGTGCCGCTGATAATCTTTAGGCGTAAGTAAAGATATTAGCTGTGTTGGCACCGGAGGCCAAGTGTACTACGCGGGCCTGGCGACGCTGCTGAAGCTCGCGCAGGAGGAAGTATTGTAGCTGGATGTGCTTTGCTCTGCCCTAAAGTCGAGGCTCTTGACACAGGAGGATCATAGCACTGTTGTCAGCGTACAGGACCGGGGCAGAGCTAGGCCGCTCACCTAAGTCCGCGAGCAAGAACGTCAGCTAGCGAAGCTCCTGTGCCGCCATGGCACCGGCGTAGATCTCTGTCTCACAGCTAGACTGGACAATCGACGAGGAGCGAGTGGACCTCCACGAGATGGCACCTGAACCAAGGCTAAAGCAGTAGCCCTGAGAGGACCTGAAATTCTCAGCATCGTCTGCCCAAGAAGCGTCAGTGTGTCCAGTAAGGACCACTAGCCTGCGTCCTCCCGGCACTAGTCCCATGCCCGATGTACCTGGTCCGTTTTGCCACCGCACGCCGCCACCGCCGCTGCTGTCGTCACTGCCGCCGCCGCCACTGTCGCCACCGCAGCCCTCGACGCTGACGTCGCCGCCTCGCACGTAGAGAGGTCGGCCGCGCTGGACCGCCGCACCTGCTGTAGGGCATGGGGGTGCAAGGGTGTGGGGGTGCTGCATGTTGGGTGGGCTTGCCGCTACCAAGCCTAGGGGGTGTGTTAAATTAAATGTTTGTTATATATAATTGTAGGCTTGGTAGCTGCTACCGAAACCTACCGTAATCCCCTCGGATATAGGCGCATATGTGCTTATAGGGATTAGGTTCAAAAAGCAGCATGCGCTTGTAATCGAATAAAAAATATAAGCCCATGCGCTAATACGAATGACTATATGTGTTATGAATGGGACTGCCGAGTAGCGCGGAGGGCAATGACGAAACTGTGAACGAGTGAATGACAATAAAATGAAAGACAATACAATATATAGAAAGCCTAGGGTGATCCTGGACGTAGGATCGGAAGGTTCGGGAAATGTATCGAAGGGCCTCGATGTGTCGTAACGAGGTCCGGAAAGGCCCAGGAGGCTCGAACTGGAAGGTCTGGAACCCTGTCGCTGGTTCGGGACTGTTCGAGTCGTACGCCCTGTAGCAAGCCTCAGTAAGGAATTACTCATTCCTTACAATATGGAAAATTGTTTTGAACACACCAAGATGTAGCTGGGTTAATTTGGATTCCAATAAAACTGCCTTCAAAAGGGGACGCGCAAGAATATTGCGCGAAATATCTGGCGAAAGTTTTGCCAGCACACCTATGCTGGGAAGGCAGTGTATGGACCAATCATAGGCAGAAATGCAGGAAACGCAGGAATCTAGCTGGCGAGGTGCTTGGGAGGGGTGCAAGAGTGCTGCGGGAGGTTTGGCACAGTGTTTTCGATATGGAAGTTTCGCAATTCACCTGTTTTTAAATAGTAATTCAATGCGCTTATAGGGAATAGATTTTCCAAATCCTTCGCGAACTGCGCGCAGAGCCGCTCGCAATCGGGGTACTTGCTGCGGAAGGCATGCCCGTCGATCTGCTTCTCGTGCATGGTGTAGGTGTGACTGGGTTGCCGTCCTTGTCGATGCCCCGCACCTTTACGCGCTTGCTCCCTCTGCGCCCGTAGACGGCCAAGAAAGCCGAAAGCCACGTGCCTTCGACCCCCCCACCGAACACCTCTCCGCACTCCAAGCAGCGGTGGCGGAAGTCCCATGTCGCCTCGTCGATATCCTTCGTCACTTCGGTGACATCGACCTGGTGGAAGTGACAGACAAGGGAGTGGAGTCCGAGGGTGATTCCAAACGTGCATGCATGGGACAAAAACTACAACATGCACAGTGGTAGAAGCTCACCTCCCTCTTTTGGAATTTGAGGTTGAGCTCATTCATTACTCCGAGCACGTCCGTCAGGAAAAAAAGACAGAACTGGAACTTGTAACAAATGACGACTTCATACAGCTCATGCCCGTACTCATGAAACAGAATAATAGCGGTGCCAAGGACCTTACAGAGGCGCCGCACAGCCTCACCCCTTGAAAGCCAGCGCACGGTGTGAATTCCTTGCACTTCAAGGTTGGTGTTGTGTATTGCCCGCTGCAGGTACTTGAAGCGTTGACTCCAGACACATGAACGTCCCAGAAGATCGGCCGGAGTCCGAATCACAAGGTCGACCATGTCGAAGTCTGGAGAAGCAGTGGCGGCGTCCTTCACCGCCAGGGCTTCCCTGCATGGTGCACACACAGGAATTTTAGTCAAGCAGTTGTAGGAAACCTAAGCGACTAAAATGACAAGCGGTTAAACCTGTGCGCGATGCAATGCGAAGAGACGAGATGGGGGATGTGCTCGCGAAGTCGGGCGACGAGACCATTGTCTCGGCCGACCATGACAGAGGCGCCATCGGTCTCATGCCGGTGATTCGGGAGAGGTCGATGCTAGTTGCTCGCAAGTGAGCCAGAAGAACGGCGAGGAGAAACGCGGCGTCGCACTTTTCGACGGTCAAGAGAGCAAAAAACTCTAGGACAACACGATGCGCACGCAAGAAGGTTAGGTAAACAATGAGATGTTTACCGCGAGTACGGTCAGTGCTCTCGTCGCAGCTGATGCCGAGGTAGGGTGAGGCGAGAATGTGTTGCATTTGTCGGCGCTGCAGGTAGAATGCCAAGCTGTTGACGAGCTAACAGAAGCCATACCTGTAGTAGCAGAAGTAACAACAGGGAGGCTATTAGACCTATTAAATAAATGAAGGATATGGTGTATTTGGAATCAGTGCATTACCGTGTCAGGTAGACTCCGTAAGACTGCAGCGGAATGTCTGGGGTCTCCTGCTCGGCCATGAAGCGGAGTAGCCTCGGGTACATGTTGATGGGTGCATCACACTTGCACTGGAAGTCGACGCAGCGTAGGAGCCTCATAACGCGCTTCCCCTCGATGTCAGTCCGCGCGTAATTCTCCATGCGCCTCTGGGTGCTGGCGATGTCTTCGGTGATCTCCATCTGACGCTTGACTGTTGCTTCGTGGGCTGTCGTGTGTTCGTGGAACCGCATCGCTTGCGTCTGCAGGTCACGTGCCCCGTCGCGGCTGTTGGAGTACGGTGTTGTCTCTTTGTCGAAAGCCTTGCACACACTGCACTTCAACGCAGGGTAACCGTCTTTCATTTTCGTTAACAGAAGCCAAGGGAAAAATGGAAGCCAGCTGGTCTTATACTTGTGCTCAGCCATGAGATACTTCTGCTCGATGAGTTCTTTCTTCGAGAGCTTCGGCGGCTCGGGTTCTGGAATAGCAGGGGCCTGAGGTTCAGGCGACGTGCGAGGCGGTGACGGTCGACGTAGCTTCCTGCCAAGGACTATCGTGCTCTGGGTGTACTTCCCGATGCGTGCTTTTTTCCCAGATGAAATCGTGGAAGCATACTCGACCGTGTAACGCATGGTCGTGGCTGTCTCGCAGTTCAGAACCCAAGGGCCCCGGCTAGATGAAGCGACAGCGGGCAGAGGTACATAGGGAGAGGGAGTAGATACGGGTTGTGATGGTGTTGCGACTGCGGTGGGAGACCGCTGGATATCTAGAGCGGATATACGGACCTCCACGTGGGGGTCCCTACCTGGTCTAGAATCATCATCGGCGGCGGGAGACTCACCAGAACCTCCTACATCCGCCATGGCTAGTAGCGGCGGATATGATCGAAACGAGAACTAGGCGCGACGAAAGTGGACGAGAAAGAAAAATGGAGCATCTCACATCTGCGATGTGAAGAAGAGGAGGAAATTGGGTTGGAGGAGAGGCTGGTGAAGAAGATGGGAAGGGGACCAAGATCTCTAAAAATTAGTATACTAACTTCCTAAACTTGGGAACCTAGCTTAGCTAGGATACTAGGGAAACCGCCATGGAATGGCGTGAGGCAAGTAGATCTAGGAGCAGGGAGAGAATGTCGAAAAAGAAGAGTCTTGATTAGGAAGAGAGAGAGGTACAAGGAGGGGATTGTACCCTCTACAGAAAGGTTCAGTAACAACTATCAAGCCTATCAATTATATATAAATTATATAATCTTGACACAAGAAACCCCAGATTTCGCTTTTCAGGAACGGTGCATACCCCATCCAGGATCCCGCATCGCCATGGCGATACCGTCGACGGCGGGACACACCTGCGCTGGCATCGTATGCATAGAGATGATTGGCTCTGTGATGTCATGCAGAGGCTGACATTGCAGCGCTTAGCATATTCTGTCCTCGTCTGCTGCGTGCTGAGTCACGAATGCCAGGCTGGGGCATGACGGAGTGCACCATCCCACACTTAACGGTTGGAAATGTTGCTGAAATGGCAACATACAGCGTGTACAGGGTGGGAAAGTTGCCAAGTGCAGATTCTCCACGTGACGCCTGCTGGTCGTATTCATTGGACTGGGACCCGTCACGCGTAAGGGGGCTATTTCGCCGAAACTCAGGGTCCGCATGGATGTCGCATTCAGGGTTCGTACGCGTTACTCCCTGAAAACTCAGTTTTGGGATAACGCAAACCCTGAAATTCTAAGTGTTCACAGACATACAACCCTGAAGAGGTTAGGGTTAAAAAAAGCCCAACCCTGAAAATTAAGGGTTGGCCGAAAAAATACCCTGTGAAATCAGGGAATCAGGGTAAAATACCCTGATAACGACAGGCCTGCTTCAGACTCGGGAAATTTTTGGGGGGGGCAATAGGGTGCTTCTTTTTTAAATGCCAGCCCTGGTCCTTACATCTGGGGGATGACGGTACAAACAGCCTTGTTTGAACAAAAGAAGCAAGTTCGCAACTCACTCGTCCGCGCTATCAACAGGCTTGAGGAACACTGGCATGCCGTACTTGGCTTTCAGCGAGGGTTTATGCTCTGGGTAATGGCGGTACGACGGTGCCACTTGCCACGAGAATCTGAGCAGCAGGAGCGACATAGTCACCTTCGCCTCCAGCATTGAATATTTCTGGCCAATGCATATATGGGGGCCGGCAGTAAAGGGGAAAAACGCAAGTGGGTGTGTTGCTGCTTGACTAATCCCATTTGCAAACCTCTCTGGTTTGAACTCATCTGCATCGTCACCCCACAGCTCCTTCCTCCTGTGCATCGCCCCAACCGGCACCAACACTCCACACCCCGCGGGAATGGTAAGCGTTTCACTCAGCTTGGTGCGGGCAATGCACTGACGCATAACCATAGGAGCGGGAGGATAGAGCCTGAGCGCCTCATTGAGCACCATAGTAATGACCTTCAGCTCTGACGTCTTCTCCATGGTCAGACCCGCCCCATCTGCTCCAAGCACTTGCCTTGCCTCCTCCCGCGCGCGCTGCTGCCACGTGTCGTGCTGCGACAGGAGCAGGACAGTCCAGGTGAGGAGAGCCGACGTGGTTTCGTGGTTGGTTATAAGGAAGGTGATGCATTCATCCATAACCTGCTGGTCGGACATGGTACCAAGGGGTGGGGCTGACTTCACCTCTCCTCCTCCCCCCCCTCCTCCCCCTCCTCCCCTTGCTTTGGCTGCAGCTGCTCCACCTGCTGCTTCATTCTCTTCATCTGTGGCAGTCAGCATCAGCTCCAGCAAGTCAGTAGTCCTGGGAGCATCTTCCGTACCACTGGCAGCATTTCCAACAGCAGTACCAGCAGCACTAGTATCAGCAGCACCAGCAGCAGCAGCAGCAGCAGCAGTGGTTTGTTGTTGCTTGTGGCGTTGCCGTCTAGCGGCAATCATGCCCATCATGATGCTGCAAATCAACCGCTCATTCCTGTCGCGATGCTGATTCAGCGACGTGGGGAGTGAGCTGACAGGGTACTCGTGCAAAAGAGAGTGACAGAAAAAGAGGGAAGGAAGAGGGGAAGAAAGTGGGATGCAGGTAGTGCTTGGACGCCCAAAGAAGAGGGAGGGAATGGATGGGGAGAATGTGATTGGTGGAATGGGGAATCTCAGTTATGAGTAAAGAAGGGAAAGGTTGTCACATGACCCACGGGGCCAGTGGCAACGCAGAAAGCTACAGCTAACGTGGAAGAAATTACTTCTTGGCAGAGAGAGGAGGGAGACGAGGATGCTAGTACACAAGCGGAAGAGCAAAAGAACCATGTGTTGTGCAGAAACTAGAGAGCAGCACAATTCACAGCAACCACCACAGCTGCGTACGTACCGGTATCCAGGAATCTTTGAAAACGGGCTGAGAGCACTTGACCATGCAGCATCGGAATACGCGCGAAAAGCCACCAGAAGCTGCTTTGCTGGACTCCTGCCATCCTTCCCTCCCTCTGCTAACTTGCCTCCTTTTCCTCCCTCACCTCCACCTGCTTCTCCATCTCCCCCCACGTCACCCAGCCTAGCACCAAAGGCAACCCAGCCAAGCACTTTAACAGACATAATCTCAATCATAGTGTCCATCGGAACCTCCTTCCCAGGCTCGGCCCGAACCTGATTCTCCCAGGAAGTAAGAGCAGCTTGGATGCACTGGAGCATGATTGGGAACATGCGCTGCCGATGGGGAGTTAGGGTTGGGCACGGGGATGGACGAGAGAAGGGGAACGGTCAACTTTTGAGTGGAGGGGGAGTGGGAGGGAGAGGGGGAGGCGGGAGGAGGAGGGGATGGGCGGGGGCGGGGGTAGTAAACTCAACAGCTGCAGTGCAGAGAAGTATGATGTGCATGGATGGAAACGGGTAAAACCCGAAAAAATACTAAAGATTCAAATAGACTCGTACTAAGATTCGGATTCGTCACAGGACAAGTATTTGTCCAAATACGAAATTAATGATCATGTTGGCACCCTTGGATGCAGGGAAACAGCAGTTGCAGGGAAAGAGCGATTTCGGCGCATGCTCCTCCTGGCAAACAAGAGAACCACTGGCGCAGGGCACAGCATATTCACGCACTCACACTGAGCTCGCTGTGTTTGAAGGCGGGGTTGAGTCGCCTCCGGTGCGCAGCCCACAGTGGCCCCGACGCTGTCAGGAGCCCGTTGCCCAGGAGGGGGAATGAATTCTTTAACAGGTCCGACTTGGGGAAGGCGTCGTTGTGGGTGACGTATATGGCGCGCAATACCGAGGGGTCGGCGACAAGCACATGCGGCATAGGGCCGGCGCAGAAGCGCACCACAGGGCCGTACCTGGTTCGAGGAGGCGAGGGACGGGGGGTGGAGGGGGGGGGGGTAGGATGATGAGGGGGATTGTGGGAGCGACGCAAATGAAGAGAGTGGGGAAACGATACAGAGGCAGGGAGAGGAGCATAAGTGGCAAGGGGCAAAAGCAGTACTACTGCGTCGTTCCACCATATCCCCTTGTGGAATCTTCCCTCCATCCCCACTCCACCCCCTCCTCCCCTGGAAATCATTGACCACGTCATCTAGCACGTCAACAGCGACTCCCTTCCCCCTTCCCCCTTCCCACCCCTTCCCGCCCCCCATTCCCCCCACTCCCCTCCAACCCCCCTCTCTGCGCACCTCCTGACCATCTCGTCCAGCACGTGTGTGCAGGTGCAGGTGGCAGCGAATGCAGGGTCCTCCGCACGCCGCTTGCGGAACTGAAAGCGGAGCCGGGGAGAGGGGAGGGAAGGAAGGGGCGGGGGATGAAGGGGTCGGGAGTGGGATGGAGGAGGGGGAGGAGAACGGCTCTAGAGTCCACTCAGTTGGCGTTACTACTAAAGAGGGAAAGGGCAAGGCGGAGTGCATGGTAGCGTGAACGGACACATGCTCAGTGCAACGGTGCTGAGGATGATTTTTCCGGAGGAGGGAGACACCTGCCGTCCAAAGAACCGTCCAACAGTCGATCACACCGGCAACCAGGCACATGCACATCAGGCTTCGTGATATTTGGAGAAGATCGTATGTGGAGCGGTCTTACCTGGAATGTGTCAACCAGGATGCCGTAAAACAGGCGGAAGGGCGGCCCCGGCACGCCTTGCGCGGCGAGGTCCGCCATGGCTCGGCGCGGGACGAGCCAGACGAAGTTGACGGCGGCAGAGAGCAGCGCGGTGAGCAGCAGCGTGCCCAGCGCGACGAGCAGGCTGGCTGGGGATAGCATGGCGGAGAGCAGCGCCGGCGACGGCGGCGGCAGGGGCGCGGACTCCATGATGGCGCAAAGGCGAAAACCCCGTATGGTCCCTGGGGAACGTTTTGCGGAGTGCGATACTACATCACCAAAATGTGTTGTCCCGAATCTGTCCAAAATGTGTCTTTCTGGAATCTAGGTTCGGGCAGATATCTGAATGAAGGTAGGATGTTTGTCGGGGCGAAATGGGAGAGTTTTGGGGTGGTTGTCGGATTGACAAGTGTCCCACAACAGCCCATACAGAATCTGAACAGTAACACAGCTGTCGGAAAAATCCTCGCTGTTGGTGCCTGATGAGACACACAATTGTCGCGCTACAGTGAAACATTTCAAAATGTCATACATTAGAGATGTCAGCCTACTGCAAACAACCGAAATAAATCCACACAAGCAAACTAGCAAGAAATATTGCAACTGAAGCAAGTCTCAATCTGCAACACAAAGCGGCGCCATTGATAGGAGTGCATTAGTTATCAAAGAAAGCAGATGTCAAAGGAGAAAATGCGGTGAAAATTGTAACAGTGGAAACTCAATTGCAAGGGGGAAAGGAAAACCTTTAAATAAAATGGCATCGTTCCTTGCATTGTTCCTGTATAATAATGAGGTTCTGAAGCGTGGGAAGCAATGAACGGGGCTCGGTCGTCGCCATGAGAATGGAAATATGAACCCCATAAAAAAAGGGGGGCTGGCGCCAGTCGAAGCATAAGCGCAGATGCGTATTCGACGGTAGGATTAGAACCACAAAGGTGTTGAATTATATATATTATATATATATATAATTGTAGGCTTGGTATGTGTTATTGGATCCTACTATAGAGGGTACAACTGTCCAACATATCTTTGTCTGTTGTTATAGACTACACAAGGTTGTGCCTTAGAGAGTACAACCCACTAGGTTATATTCCCTTGTATGTCATGGTTCCATTCATTCGTTAACTTTGATATGGTATTATGAGTAAGTTAGGTCCCCCCCGCCCACCAGCGCTTCCGCCATAGGTCCTAGCCGCCCCATCGCCCTCCCGCCCGTGCTGGCCCGTCCCCTAGTGGCCCCTGTCGCCTAGCCAGCCCGGTCGCCTAGCCGGCCCCGTCGCCTAGCCGGCCCTGTCGCCCAGCCGGCCCCACCGCCTAGCCGGCCCTGTCGCCTAGCCAGCCCTGTCGCCTGGCCGGCCCCGTCGCCTGGCCGGCCCCGTCGCCAAGCCGGCCCCGTCGCCCAGCCGGCCTCGTCGCCTAGTCGGCCCCGTCGCCTAGCCGGCCCCCGTTGCCTAGCCGGCCCCGTCGCCAAGTCGGCCCCGTCGCCCAGCCGGCTCCCATTAGTCATGCCCTCCCCCTGTCTGAGCGCCCTCGCTTTAGGTCGGTCAGGACTACGCAGGAGTTCCTAGAGGCTGTTGTCGCGCGCTATTCCACCCCGCCCTCTACCTCCGTCGGTCACCTGATCCTGCCCATGCTCTTTCCTGATCTTGCGTCTTTCTCCACTGTCGCTGACATTGCCGCCCACTTGCGCACGCTAGACGCGACCTGGCGCGCTGCCTGCACTGAGGCCCAATTTCTTGTGTTTCAGCTCCCCATCTGCTCTTCCCTCTACCTGCTTGTCACCCGCCTCCCTGACCGCCTTGCTACCGCCCGCAATCACTTTCTTAGTCTCCACCCCGCTGACCTCACCCTCCCTGACTTTGTCGACACCCTGTCTGCCATAGAGACTCGTCAGCGCTCTATCGCCCAGTCCAGCGGTATTGTGTTGGTCCCTATCTTTCAGGGTTGTGCCCCCGCTCAGTGCACTTACTCTAACGGTTCTGCTGCTGTCGCTGAGACAGCCCCTACTACGGAGACAGCCGCCGCGGCTGCCGCAACGTCTGAATGGGGGGTAAGGAAGAGGCGCAGTCTGAATGGGTAGGAAGGAAGAGGCGGGCGAGGCGGGTTCTGAATGGGGGGGAAGGGAGAGGTGGATTTTGAATGGGGGGAAACAGAGAGGCGGATTCTGAATGGGGGGGGGAAGGGAGAGGCGGAATCTGAATGGGGAGGAAGGGAAAGGCGGATTCGGAATGGGGGGGAAGGGAGAGGCGGATTCCGAATGGGGGGAAAGGGAGAGGCGAATTCCGAACGGGGGGGAATGGGGGGGAAGGTAGAGGCGGATTCCGAATGGGGAGGAACGGTGAGGCAGATTCCGAATGGGGGGGGGGGTAGAGGCGGATTACGAATGGGGGTGAACGGTGAGGCGGATTCCGAATGGGGGGGAAGGGAGAGGCGGATTCCGAATGGGGGCGGAAGGGAGAGGCGGATTCCGAATGGGAGGGGGAGGGAGAGGCGGATTCCGAATGGGGGGGGAGGGAGAGGCGGATTCCGAATGAGGGGGAAGGGAGAGGCGAATTCCGAATGGGGGGGGAACGGAGAAGCGGATTCCGAATGGGGGGAGGACGGAGAGGCGGATTCCGAATGGGGGGGGAGCGGAGAGGCGGATTCCGAATGGGGGGGGAGGGAGAGGCGGATTCCGAATGGGGGGGGAGGGAGAGGTGGATTCCGAATGGGGGGGGAGGGAGAGGCGGATTCCGAATGGGGGGGGAGGGAGAGGCGGATTCCGAGTGGGGGGGAGGGAGAGGCGGATTCCGAATGGGGGGGGAGGGAGAGGCGGATTCCGAATGGGGGGGGAGGGAGAGGCGGATTCCGAATGGGGCGGGAGGGAGAGGCGGATTCCGAATGGGGGGAATGGAGAGGCGGATTCCGAATGGGGGGGGAATGGAGAGGCGGATTCCGAATGGGGGGGAAATGGAGAGGCGGATTCTGAATGGGGGGGGGATGGAGAGGCGGATTCTGAATGGGGGGAATGGAGAGGGGGGAATGGAGAGGGGGGAATGGAGAGAGGGTAATGGAGAGGGAGGAATGGAGAGGGGGGAATAGAGAGGGGCCATAGTGAGGGGGGAATAGTGAGGGGGGAATGGAGAGGGGGGAATGGAGAGCAGAGTAGATGAGGGGGTAGCATGGCAGATGGGCGGGGGGAGGGGGGGGAGGGGGGGGGACAACAGATGAGTGGGGAGCATGGCAGATGAGGGGGGAGCAGAGCAGATGAGGGGGGAGCATGGCAGATGAGGGGCCTGCCAAGCATGAAATATGGGAAGGGAGTGGAGGGAATAGGGAAAAAGAAGAGGGGGAATGCGACCAAGTGAGCTGGTATGTGACGCTGTCCTCCTCGGCCCGGTTTATCGTGGTGATGCGGTTTCGGGAGAGTGGGAGATCAGGAGAGCAGGAGAGCAGGAGAGCGGGAGAGCGGAAGAGCAGGACAGCGGGTGAGCGGGAGGGCGGGAGAGCGGGAGAGTAGGAGAGTGAGAGAGCGGAGCGGATTTGGGCAGCAGCAATAGCGGCGGGCCGGCCGTCTCCCACCCGGGTGGCCTGGCGCCGATGGTGGAGGTGGTCGAAGTGGTCGTGTGCGCAGCGTGACGTCGAGTGGTGGTCCGAGTGACGGGCTCTGCCAGTACCAGCTCCAGACCGGTTCTCGTTGCGGCCTCGTGTGCGGTAAGATCGACTATACCCCCACTCGTTGTTTCAGTTGCCTAGACGACCTGTTTCGTCTCCGCTTCGGCCCAGTGCCAGACCACCCTGACTGGCATAGTCTGCTCCGCCGTGGTGTTAGGATCTTTGATAGGGATATGGATGAGATTAGCTCTGCTTTGTATGTGTTGAATGTCGATGACTCTAGTGTGACTGGTTCCGCTTACCCCGTATTGCCTAGTGTAGGTGTGACTAGTATGCCTCGTTCAGGCTCCCCTGCTGCGTCAGGCGTAGGATCCCCTACTTTGTTTAGCCTTGGCTCCACCCTCGCTGCTGGGGCTGCTGCTCTGAGGCACCAGCCCCTGCCCCCTCGTTAGTACTACCAGCAGGCGAACCACCTCCACCACCGCCTCCACCCCCTCCTCTGCTACCTTCGCCGCGCCCACCACTCCCTCCCCTCTCCTTTTTCCTCCGGATGCATCCATGTGCCATCGCCTGCGTGACTTTGTGATTTCTTGCAGCAAGTACTCCTGGGCGATCCCCCCCCTGCAGTGGACTCTATCTCTTACCCCCCTCTCTTCCTTCTCCCTCCCCCCCCCCCCCCCCCAGCAACCCACCGTTCCCTCCAGGCGAATCCCTGTACCATCACGTGCGTAACTTCTGGAGATGTATTGCTAGGGAGGGTTCTCACACATTACGGTCCCTCCCTCCCCCCTCACCCCCGGCTCTTTCCCCACTTCCCGATGCGCCCGCCGAGCGTGACTTACCCCTCCTCCGACCCCTGCCGCCACTGCCGCACTCTCCTTCACCCTGGGCTCCGGCGCTTCCCGGTGTTTCTTTCGGGACTCCACTATGCTTACGCCGCTTGCCGCTCCCGCTGCTTGCAGACCCTTCCTCAAGTCCTGTAGTCGCCCGTAGCTACACCACCCTTCCCTGTCCGGCGGTTCCTTCGGGCTCTCTTACAGGTCTGCACATCCCCTCGTTCTCTAGGAATCTAGTTGGTGTCGGCTGCCTCCAGGACCTTGGCGTCACCACTACGTTCCCTGGTCACGAGCGGTACGCTGTCTGTACCGAGGCCGCCACTGGTGCTCCCCTCACCACGTTCCCCCGAGACCCGGTGTCTGGCCTGTTCACGCTGGACACCGCGTCCCCCCCGGTTGGGACGTCTCCTCAGGTGTCGGCATCTACCCAGATTGTCGCGTCTTGCTCGTGTCGGTCGCTCACTCACCTGACGCTTCTGTGGCACCACCGTCTAGGTCACCCTACCCTTACACGTCTTCGTCACATGTCTCAGCACGGTCTTGTCTTAGGTCTCCCTGAGTCGTTCCCCGCGTACCCTCCTCACCAGCACCACCGTGCACGCCTTGCGTTGAGGGCCGGCTCCGCCGTGCCCCTCACTCCTCCTCATTCCCCCCCACCGCCGCACTGCTGCAGACCCTAAACATGGACGTCAGGGGCCCCACCCTCGTCCATGGGCCGCGTCGCGAGCGCTACTTCCTAGTGCTTGTCGATGACTACGCGCGCTACACCACGGTGTTTCCCCTGAAGCGGAAGGCTGATGTGCCTGACGTTCTTATCCCGTGGCTTGTCTGTGTGCGTGTTCACGGTCTCTGTGTGTTGCGTCTTCACTCTGACCGCGGTGGCGAGTTCGCCTCTGGCTGCCTTTGTCGTTTCTGTCGTGCGGAGGGCATCACCCAGACGTTCACCCTGTCGGACTCCCTGCAACAGAATGGGGTCGCTGAGCCACGCATCGGTTTGGTCATGGAGGTGGCTCGTACCTCCATGATCCATGCCAGTGCACCCCATTTTCTGTGGCCGTTCGCGGTTTGCTACGTCGCTCACCAGCTTAACCTGTGGCCGCACCCTCAGCGGTCGCAGGTTTCGCCGACCCTCCTCTGGACTGGGTCCCCTGGTGACGCGTCTACGTTCCACGTCTGGGGCTGCCTTGCTCACGTTCGTGCCCCTGGCACAGACAAGCTCACTGCCCGCACCATCCCTTGTGTCTTCCTAGGTTTCCCCCTCGACTCGTCTGACTGGCACTTCTACCACCCGCCATCGCACCGCTTCTTTCACTCCTGGGATATCACCTTTGAGGAGTCCCTCTCCTTTTACCATCGTTTTCCCCACCGTGGTCCCCCGGTTACCCCCCTCTTGTTCTTGGTTACCCCTCCCCCGGTCGCCCCGGCTCCCCCCCCTTCGCCTCCCTACCCCGTCTGGTGTGTATCACGTCACCCGTCTTCCGTCGGGTGTCCCTGTCGAGGAGTCTTCTAACTCTCGTGGCACTGCGGAGTCCCTCCCCTTTGCCCCTCCTTGCCCCCGTCTCTCCTCCCCTGTCGACTCCGTTGCTGTCACCGTCGCAGCCGCCCCCGCCGCTGCCGTCGCCGCCGCGCCCGCAGCCGCCGTCGTCACCCTAGAGCGGGTACTGGATCGGATTCCCATTCTGGGGGTGCTGGCGTGGAGCTTCTCGGAGGGAGCCGTGCTGTCGCTGGAGGTTCTTGTGTTGGAGTCGGGCAGCAGCCGCAGCAGTCGCCGCCGGTGTCCGCTCTTCGCCTCCTCGGTCTCCTTCCCCTGACCGCCTGCCGGTGCCTCCTTCGTCGCCGCCACCTCCTCCTCCGCCAGTCTACGGCCCAGTTTTTCATCCACCTGACTCCTCTCCAGCTCGTTTCCCTCCCCATTCTCCTCCTGTGTCTCCCACCCTCTCTCCTGACCAGACTCCTCCGTCTCACGTGTGGTCTCGTCGTCCGTCTTGTGCTCGTCCTACCTCCCCTGTCCAGCGGTCTCACCCTATGTTGCTTCGCTCCCACGCATCTCGTGCTCCTCCGCTCCTCCCGTCTCCTCCTCCGTCCTCGCTTGCTATGGCCCCGCCTCCGTTCTTTGACTTCCTCCGTGCCACGTGTCCCCTTGTTCCTCGTGTCCTTGCCTCTTTGGTTACCAACCCGTCCGTTCCTGTCTCGAGTCTGTCGGCTCTTGTCGCTGCTGTCACTAACTTCGCCATTACGCGCCGCCTTGACTACGTCACTGCTCTGGTCTCTGACCCTGCCTGCCCTCCGTCTGTCGAGGGTGTGGCTGCCCTTGGCAGTGACGTCCTAGAGGACAGGGAGTACGAGCTTGCTTTCTAGTCTGAGGTCGCTCCTCATCTCTGTTCCATGCTGCTAGTCCTTGCGGGTGACCCAGACGCCCTTGACATCCCGACCCCTCGCACCTACGCTGAGGCCGCCTCGGGACCCTGGGCCTCTCAGTGGATAGCTGCCATGGAGCAGGAGATGGCATCATGGAGATCCACCGGTACCTTCGTCGACGCAGTTCCCCCACCTGGGGTGAACGTAGTCGATGACCGATGGCTCTTCAAGGTGAAGCGCCCTCCTGGAGAGCCGCCTGTCTTCAAGGCGCACTACATTGCTTGATGCTACAGTCAGCGTTGTTAGAGATAGGCTGCAATTCGGTTGGCACAATTTTGTGTGTTGACACTTTGTTGGTTTTAGGGATACTCATATTTGTTAGGTTGGGTGTAGCTATGTTTTCATCCCCAACCTATCCCAACCCAATCCATCCCAAATCCCCACGATTTGGGAGGATTCCCTTGGGATTCCCTCCGATTCTCCCTTATCCCTTCCCATCCTCTCCGATGCTCGGTACTTAAGGATGTATGCTCTTGCTCATTACAATCAATCAAGTTCTCAGTTTCTGATATGGTATCAGAGCTCGTTTCCGCCTAAGCGGCTCTTGATCCTCTCGCTCCGTTGGAGCCTAGCATTTGCGTCTTACGACGCAAAGCTTTTCTAGTCGCCTCAACTCAGCGCGGCGCTTCTTTTCGGGCTGACGCCCGTCGCCCCGCATCTGCTCGTCGCACCTGATCGGGCTGAGCCCGTCGCCCCGCATCTGCTCGTCGCACCTGATCGGGCTGAGCCCGTCGCCCCGCATCTGCTCGTCGCACCTGATCGGGCTGAGCCCGTCGCCCCGCATCTGCTCGTCGCACCTGATCGGGCTGAGCCCGTCGCCCTGCATCTGCTCGTCGCACCTGATCGGGCTGAGCCCGTCGCCCCGCATCTGCTCGTCGAAGCTGGACGGGCTGTCGCCCGTCGCCCTTGCAACAGCGGGGGGGTGCAGCGGCGAAGCGGAAAGGGGGCAGCGGCGAAGCGGAAAGGGGGCAGCGGCGAAGCGGAAAAGGGGGGGTCGCGGAGCAGCGGGATTGCAGCAGCACATCGCGGGTTTCCATAGATTTTTGGCGTTCAGATTTCCCTCTTTATCGGCTATTCCTCTTCTCCGAGTGTTGAAAATCCGCAAAGGGAAACCCTGTTTTTCGCGGAGCCCGCGAAGTGCCTATCGGCGACTTAAGAGCTGCGCTACGCGCGGAGAAAGGGTCCTTGGAGCATCATGGCGTATCCTTCCGCGTCTCTCTCAAACCCGATCACTCCCTTGCGCCTCGACCCAAATGGCTCGAGCCCGAACTTCAAGGAGTGGAGCTATGGGGTTGATAAGCATCTCCTAAGCCGCAAAATTGAGGGGATTTGCCTCAAGGATGTCCTCCTCAATCGCGGCAAAGGAAAGATGCCGATCCTTCCCAAGAAGCTCTCGGCCACAGCCACAGGGGAAGAGTTAAAAACCCATGAGGAATCCATGTCCAAGTATGAGGAATCTTACAGCGTGTGGGAGCAAGCCGACACCGCTATCATTGGCGTCTTCGTCGGCACTACCCCTTCCGAGCTCGTCAAAACTTACCATAACTACCCCTCCGCGCACGCCATCTGGGAGTACCTCAACGACCGCTTCCTCAACAAAACCGCTGTGGGGGTGGCGATCCTCATCCCCCGCATGTTTCAAGTGCGTCTGGAGGAGTGCCCTGGAATGGCAGATTACGTCGCTGAAATTCAAGGGATTCATCAGGAGCTGAAGCAACTCGGCATTGTCTTCCCAGAGCAAGCCCCTGCAGCAGCTCTGCTTGTTGGGCTGACCCCCTCTTACAATGTCACCCGCTCCATGCTTCTCCATCTCCCGCCAGAAGAGCTAACCTTTGCCAAAGTCTCTTCCGCACTTCTCTCTGCTGAAAAAGACAACACTGCGCAGGCTCGTGCAAATGCGCTTCGCGCTCCTGTCCCGGCTCCAGCATCGCGTCCCAATCCGCCACCCACTCGTAACCGCTACCCACCCTGTCCTTACGTCATCAAAATGGGACCCCGTGCGGGTCAGGTGTGCGGCGGCACCAATCACCCGCTCGCCACCTGTTTCAAAAAGAAGGACGACGACTGGTTCGCCAAGAATGGTATCAACTCCAAGCCGCCCAACTGGCTTCGCATGCGCCAGCTCAACCAGGTTGAGGCACAGGATAGTCAGGACTCAGCCGTTCATGCCCCTAGTCCTGATGTTCGTCTCAACCTGTTGTTCCCTGGCCTTCCCATGATCAATGAAACCAGTTCCCAGTACTCGACGTCTCCACAAACACCATCTAAACCGCTTGAATTCGTCCTGGACAGTGGCGCAACCCACACAGTCCTCCGAGACAAAGAGTCTTTCAAACCATACCAAGCACCCATTCCTCTTCTGGGCGCTGACTCCAGCTTCACAACTGTCGCCCATGGTTCCTCCACTCTTCCATGCCCAGCCTTCCCATCTGGCACAGTCACTGGCATATGCGTGCCCACTCTTCGGCACAACTTACTTGCACAACATGAGATTCAACGAGCAGGGGTAACCACTATCTTCCCAGCTCATTCCAATCACTGTGATCTCCTTCAGCCCACCACCAATGCCCTACTTGCACGCTTCACACTGACCGCCAACAACCTCTACACACTCCAAGTACCTCCATCTTCCACAGAAGCACACTCTACCTCCACCACATCATCGTGCTCCTGCCGTCAGCTCACCGATCCAACCATTCTTTACCACCATCGTCTTGGGCATCCCAACTTCCGCATGCTCTCCGAGCTTGCGTCTAAGAAGTTGCTTCTTCACCTGCCCGACACACTTCCTCCACCCTCCACTTCTCCCGCTCCTCCATGCTTGGACTGCGCGCAAAGCAAACTACGCCAGTTGCCTCACCCTTCCTCGCCCTCTGCTGCAGCCGCCCCGCTTGACCTCGTCCACATGGACGTCTGGGGCCCAGCTCCAGTCCGCTCTCGTGGCGGGCACTCTTACTTCCTAGTGCTCGTTGACGATCACTCTCGCTATGCCTCCGTCCACCTACTCTCCTCCAAAGCAGCTGTTCCAGATGTCGTCATCGCATGGCTTCGACAAGCCCAAAATCATTTCCGCACTTCAGTCAAGTGCCTCCATTCCGATGGCGGTGGCGAATTTCGAAACCATTCCCTTCAAGCGTTCTGTGCCTCCCAAGGCATTCGCCAGACCTTCACCCTTCCCCACAGTCCGCAGCAGAATGGCATTGCCGAAAGTCGCAATCGCACTCTCGTGCAAATCGCTCGCTGTCTTCTCACTCACGCTGGTGCACCACCTTCCCTTTGGGGTTACGCCCTCCTTCATGCCACGCTGCTGTACAACCTTCACCCTCACCCTCTTCGGCCTGCCATCACTCCCGCTGAACTGTGGACCGGCACCAAGCCCAGTGCACGTCCTCTCCGCGTATGGGGGTGTACAGCTTATGTCCTCCTCAACCCTCAGGAACGTCGCACCCACGGCGGCAAATTTGCACCCAAAGCTCAACCCTGTGTCTACCTCGGCCACAACCTGGACTCTCCCGATTACCTTTTCCTCAATCTCTCCACCAATCAGCTCATTCGTAGCCGCGATGTCGCCTTTGACGAGAGTCGCCCTTTTTACCTCTCTTCACCACCCCCCACCGCTCCACCTTCGCTTGTGTGGGCCGATTTCGATACTTCACCCACCCCACCTCCTCCCTCTGCCGCTCCTGCGGCCCCCTCACTCTCACCTTCCCCATCTCCTTCCACTCTCTCTCACCCCTCTTTGCCCACTGGCTCAGTTGCCCGTTCACCTCCGCCCGCGCCTGCACTTCCCCCTGCACCCGCTCCTGCAGCTGCCCCTCCACCTCCCTCTCCTTCTGTGGCTCCCCCTGCCCCCGCGCCTCCCTCCCCGCCTTCACCTCCGCTTCCGCCTCCAACCTCCACCTCTCCTCCCGACTCGCCCATCACCTATCGTCGCCGTCGCCACGGACGCTCTTATGTCGATGTCCCACCTGCTCCCCCGCCACCTCCCTCCTCTCCTGTCCCTATTGCTCACCGCACCCAATCTCATGGTCCCGCTCCGCCTCTCGCCCTCTTTGTTCGCATCTCCCTCAATCCGCCTCCTCCTGCCGGGGGTGCATCCATGCCTGGCCTCTTGGAGGATAGGCATGAGGAGCTGATTGAGATCAATGCTGCCATCCGTCAGCTCTGCCATCTCTTCCCCGACCTTGCCGACGCTCCAACTCTTAACTTCTCGGAAAATCCATCCATCCCGACCCCGAACTCATATGATGAAGCCATCTCTGGACCACACTCCCCCCAGTGGCTCGCAGCCATGATCGCGGAGTGTGAAGCATTCATTCGCAACAACTCTTTCACGGACGTCTCTCCTCCGCGAGGAGTTAACATTGTCCGTGGCAAATGGGTTTTTCGCGTCAAGCAGCTGCCTGGCGAACTCCCAGTCTTCAAGGCGCGATACTGTGCAAAAGGCTTCACGCAGAAGAAGGGCCTGGACTTCTTCGACACATTCTCTCCGACAGCCAAACTGCCCACACTTCGGACCCTGCTGGACATCGCTGCTCGATGCAACTTTGACGTTCACTCCATGGACGTCTCTGCTGCATTTCTCCAAGGGGATCTCCCCGAGGACATCTACATGGAACGTCCTCAAGGATTTCCCTTACCCTTTCCACCCGGCACGGTCTGGAAGCTGAATCGACCAGTCTACGGGTTGAAGCAGGCTCCTCGGGAATGGCACAAGAAGCTGAAGGCAACCCTCGAGTCACTCGACTTCCACCCCTCCTCAGCCGATCCGAGTCTCTTCATTCGCAAGAACGACAACCCGTTCTTCATCCTTGTCTACGTTGACGACATGATTCTCGTCTCCAAGGACTCCGATCAGCTGGCAGCTGTTAAGCAAGCTCTTGGGGACGCTCTCGCCATGAAGGACCTCGGTGAACTCAAGAACTACCTTGGGATGGAAATCTCGCGGGATCGCGAAGCTCGAACCATCACTCTCTCTCAAGAGTTCTATGTGAACAACGTCCTCAAGCGTTTTGCCATGGACAACGCCAAGCCAGTGGCCACTCCCCTTCCCTTGCAGCATGATCTGACCACTCCATCAGTTCCATCGCCTGAGCCTTGTGATGAGGCATACCCCGAGCTCGTCGGATCACTCATGTATGCGATGATGTGCACAAGGCCCGACCTCGCCTACCCCATCAGTGTGCTCTCGCGTTACGTTGCTGCCGGTCGATACACCAATCGCCACTGGTCGGCTGCTAAGCGCGTCCTTCGCTACCTCCAAGCCACCAAGGACTACGTCCTCACTCTCGGTGGCACGACCCCTCCTCACCTCGAGGGATACAGCGACTCCTCATGGGCTGATGATCAAGCTGACCGCCGCTCTTCCCAAGGCTATTGCTTCACCCTTGGCAGTGGTGTCATCAGCTGGCGATCTACACGCTCATCATCCGTCTCATTGTCATCTTGCGAAGCTGAGTTATACGCAGGCACCATGGCAGCCCAAGAAGCTCGATGGCTTACCTACCTCATGGCTGAGCTCGGGTATCCTCAGCAGACCCCGACTCTGTGGTGTGATAACGAGAGCACTATCCACCTCACCAAAGATCCTGTCTTCCACCAACGAACCAAGCACATCGAATTGAGACACTTCTTCATGCGCGAGCTCGTCCAGCGAGGGCAGTTGTGCGTCAAGCATATTTCCTCTGACTGCAACCTTGCCGACTTGTTTACGAAAGCTCTTGGACGCCGTGATCACTATCGTCTCCTCCGTACCATGGGACTTGGCGTCCCTACGGCTTCCGACGTTGCAGCCTAGGGGGTGTGTTAGAGATAGGCTGCAATTCAGTTGGCACAATTTTGTGTGTTGACACTTTGTTGGTTTTAGGGATACTCATATTTGTTAGGTTGGGTGTAGCTATGTTTTCATCCCCAACCTATCCCAACCCAATCCATCCCAAATCCCCACGATTTGGGAGGATTCCCTTGGGATTCCCTCCGATTCTCCCTTATCCCTTCCCATCCTCTCCGATGCTCGGTACTTAAGGATGTATGCTCTTGCTCATTACAATCAATCAAGTTCTCAGTTTCTGATAAGCGTGAGGGGGTGGACTTCTTTCAGACCTTCGCCGCGACCCCGAAGATTACCACTCTTTGGGCACTGCTTCACGTAGCAGCACAGCGTGACTACGAGCTGCACTCCCTCGACTTCTCCACAGCTTTCCCCCAGGGCAGTCTACATGAGCAGGTCTGCCTGCGTCACCCCCAGAGCTTCTCCGGTACCGAGTGGCTCCTCCGGCGCCCTGTCTATGGCTTGCGACAGGCGCCCTGTGAGTGGCACAACACGCTGCGTGCTATACTTGCTGACCTGCAGTTCTTCCCGTCGTTTGCAGACCCCTCGCTCTTCGTCCGTTCCGGCCAGACTCCGTTCTACATCCTTGTCTACGTAGATGACATAGTCTTTGCTACTGCTGACAGATAAGCACTGGCCTCCGTGAAGGCCGAGCTGCTGAGGAGGCACACCTGCACTGACCTAGGAGAGCTGCGCCGCTACCTTGGCTTACAGATCTCTAGGGACAGAGCATCGTGCACCATCACTCTCTCACAGTCACACTTGGTGCGCCAGGTCCTTCAGAGGTTCGAACTTTAGTTCTCTTCCGCACAGCCCACCCCAATGCCTGTAGACCACAGACTCTCTGCTCTAGTCCCGGGGGAGGCTGTAGAGCATAGTGGTACCTATGCAGAGCTGGTGGGTTGCTTCATGTACCTGTTGACTTGCACCCTTCCTGATCTCGCATACCCTCTCAGCATCCTGGATCGCTTTGTGGCCACCGACAGACACCGACCAGAGCACTGTTCGGCAGCTAAGAGGGTCTTGCTTTATCTAGCAAGTACATCGGGCATGGGGCTAGTGCTAGGAGGACGCAGAGCAGTGGTCCTTACGAGGCACACAGACGCTTCTTGGGCAGACGACCCCGAGACTCTCAGGTCCTCCCAGGACTTCTGCTTTAGCCTTGGTGTAGGTGTTGTCTCGTGGCAGTCCACCGGCTCATGGTCTGTTGCCCAGTCTAGCTGTGAGGCTGAAATCTACGCCGGCGCCATGGCGGCACAGGAGCTCCGCTGGCTGACTTTCTTGCTCACAAACTTAGGTAAGCGGCCTAGCTCTACCCCGGTACTGTACGCTGACAACAGGGCCATGATCCTTTAGTGTCAGGAGCCTAGACTCGGCGGCAGGGCGAAGCACATCCAGCTGCGGTACTTCCTCTTGCGTGAGCTACAGCAGTGTCGCCAGGCCCGCGTAGTATTCTTGGCCTCTGGTGCCAACACAGCTGATATCTTTATGAAGGCGCTTGCGCCTAAAGATCATCAGCGGCACTGTGTATAGCTTGGTCTCGTTCCTGTAGCCTCTCCTTTTTGCTCTTGCCTTGTTTGTACTCGTTTGACTGGTCTTTAGAACCTGGCCTCAGAGGCTAGACTAGCAGTGCCACCCTGAGCTTCTTGTCTCTCACTAGGCACTGCCCCTATCCAGTCTAGGGGGTGTGTCAAACATATCTTTGTATATTGTTATAGACTACACATGGTTGTGCCTTGGAGAGTACAATCCACTAGGTTATATTCCCTTGTATGTCATGGTTCTATTCATTTGTTAACTTTGATAACAACCCCCCTTCTTGTATCCCTCTCTCTTCTATTGAATCCCCCCTTCTCTCTCGTCGAATTTCTCTTTCCAAAACCTCACGCCATTCATGGCTCCTACTCCCACCTAGAATTCGATTATTCTAACATGGTATCAGAGCCGGAGGTCCGCCCTACTGGGCCGCCTCCTCACGCTTCCGCCGCGTACCCCCCCCCCTTCTCGTTACTTCCGTGCTGTCGTGGCGGCCGTGTCGTGCTGCCATGACGGCTTTGTTATGCTTCTGTGGCAGCCTCGACGTGGCGGCTTCGTCGTGCCGCCGTGATGGCGTCGTCGCGTCAGCGCATGGGCGGCAGTGGGCCGCGTACTTGTTTAGGCACCAGGCAGCAAGCCCGCACTCTAGCTCCGTGCCTCCCCAGCTCGTCGTGTCGGACCCTGCTCGCCGCGTCGGACCCAGCTCGCTGCGTCGGACCCAGCTCGACGCGTCGGACCCAGCTCGACGCGTCGGTCCCAGCGGACCCAGCTCGCCGCGTCGGTCCCAGCTCGCCACGCCTGCTGGCTCCGCCCCGCCGCAGCTCAAGGATGCCTAGTGCCTTCCTTCCCTGTAGTCACCTCTGCTGCAGGGTATGGGGGTGCTAGGCTTAGAGGTGTTGCATGTGGGGTGGGCTTGTGACTACCAAGTTTAGGGGGTGTGATAAATTATATATTATATATATAGTTGTAGGCTTGGTAGGTGTTACTGGATCCTACTGTAGATGGTACAACCCCCCTTCTTATATCCCTCTCTCTTCTATTGTATCCTCCCTTCTCTCTCGTCAATTTTCTCCTTCCAAAACCTCATGCCATTCATGGCTCCTACTCCTATCTAGAATTCCAGTATTCTAACAAAGGGAGGGCACGATGAAGTAGCGATGGCTTAACGCTAATCTATCAGTGCGCGAGACTAGGAATACAGCGCGACGCTAAAGAATTACGCGGTTAACAGCGTGGAAAAAAAAAAAGGGCACCTTGTCGCTGCCAATAAATGCAACGATGTACCTTGACAGATGCAGTCGTCACAGAAATAGGCAGCCGCGTGACAACAGGTCTGCGCGGATCAAACCAGGGAAAAAGAAAAACAAAACAGAAACGATGAGCTACGACGAGGCCTGCGCCATTAGAAATAACGCCGTGCAAAAAGAAATCGTGAAATCGGGGGTGATGGTGGTAATGACGTTAATGGTTGTAGTGGCGGTAATGGTGGTAATGGCGGTAATGGCGGTACAAGCTAAGATCTGAAATGTCGAAGAGCGAGTCAGAAATGACGGTGGGAGTAGGGGGACGAAGGACAAGACAGAGGTGAAGCATGGGTTTGGCTTTGGTTTGGGAGAGCGAGGTTTGGGCAGATGATGTGGCAGTTTGTAAGTAGTTTGGGGTTTGATCTGAGGTGTGGATAAGCTTAGTTGGAGGCTTGAGAACAGTAGCATGTTCCGTTGCTAGGCGAAATGGTAGCGTTTCGTAAAAGAAATGTTACATGAACGAAAAGTGAATTTCAGACCATTAGATCATTGTTGATAAGATCCGATGGCATATGGCGAAGATATTCCGATCAACGGCAATGTGAATTTTGACGAAAAGTTTGGAGTTTCAGCCGTTCGATCAGCCACTGGCAGCTCGGGGCAGCTCTCCCTAGCCTAATGTCTCTCGAAAGTGGCCCAACCTCGTGTGAGCTTGGACTGGTTCGGGACAGGTGCCGACCACTTTTCGGAGGGTGGTTTGGAGCATGGGAATTTGGAGGGGATGGGGGTTGTTTCCGGGCAGGGTTCGGACAGTTTTCGGACCGCATGCTTATGGGGCACTTTTGGGACTGTCACGTTTTGGTGATGTACAGTTCTAGCAGTGGCGGAACATCGTCGCGTCACGCCCCAACCAAATCAGTTCACGCAGCTTCGAAAAAAACCGGCGTGGCTGGGCAGCCAGTCAAGCAGCTTCGGTGACTGAAATCGGCTAGGAAAATCTCACAGCAGGGCTCGGTTCGCTAGCCCTGACCGTCCCACAAACAAAGAGGGGACATACAGTGCAAACGGAGGAGGAAACGACTAGAACCTAC